TTTTTGTACACACAAAAAGTGTAGTTTTACTTATCAAGACTATTCAGGTAGGAATTTCAGGACAGCTTAGCTCAGGTACAAGAATACGCTGACGTCGGGATTTCCGTGAAAGGGTCCTATTATCCAGGCAATAAGGAGCCAAAAGATGGTGAGAGGAAGCTTTTCCTATTTCTGGAAGCACGGTCTGAGCTTGCGTTACGTCGTGCACGCGAAGAAATTTTAAGAATCATGAAAGATACAGTGCGGCAAATGGTGATTTTTCTGCATTTTTTCTCGCTGAGTTTTAACTGCAGTTCACTATGGATATGGGAATTCAAGTAGCTTTAATTAAGATTATTTGTTAGACGATTCATTAACACAGGAAATCCTTGGCAATTCAACAAGCTCAAACTTCAATTCGCTTTATTTTCAGGCACAAACAGGTGCGCGAAATGCTTCAACAACAGGAAGATATAAAGTTTTTTAAACTGAGAGAAATGAATGCATCTTTATTACGACTTTTAGATTTGCTACCTGTTCATTTTATTGGGTCGAATCTTTTTGACTGATTTAAGTACATGATGGAAAGCGCGCAGTTTTGAGATTAGACAATAAAAAGTAACATGAAGTATATATATGTATATATATATATATATATATATATGAAGCTGCATATAAAAAAAGTGAAAACCAGAAATTAAAATGAAAACCCCTTATTTCTAACAATTTTGAGTATCACTCACTATCTTTGTTTGTTTGAGCATTGGTATTTTGGTATTTTTCGATATAGTTCCAAATTTTAATTTGTTTCATCTTGTAAATATTTAAAATTAATAGTGCTCGTTTGTTCTACTAACTGGGCCTAATTTTTTTGTTTTATTCATGCTTATTAATGTTGTTGTTTTGCTTATTAAACCCTACGATTATTAAGATGAATTGTTTTATCTTACTTTGATGCTCATATTTGCAAACAATATTGCGCTCAAATATGAAATTGGTGTTATGAAGAGTGAAGTGGCGCGAGCATTTTCGACAAATAATTTAAATCTATCTTCATCACAACTCCCATTTTCTATATCTGTTATCTTACCAAAAGGCATTGGGATTTTAATCCTCATTGGCTTGCGTTTTGTTATTATATTTTGCCTGAAATGCTTTCAAATCAGCGGGACTTAGATTCTTCTCTTTTTTGGTTTTTTTCGGAATTCAAAAGTTATGAAAATATTTGAGGCAAAACGATCGGTGTAGAGAACACACTCGTGGGAAAATGCATACTACTGTTCTCAATATCACTAAGTCTGTTCGCTTGTAATGCAGCTTCTTGCAACAGGGACGGGAATAATCACCGGCGGAGTAACAGAGTTAAACAACTGACAACCAGTCGATAACGCTTAATCGCCTCCCTACTCTAATTGCCGCTGCTACATCTACGAACCGTATTAGAGCCTATATGCCATTAGTGTCGGAAATGTTAGTTTCGGATACGACGTCTCGTTTGTCCACTGATCCAATTTTCCCATCAAGGGGCACCATTAGAAAGGAGAAAAAGGTTACAGAATTTTAATTTCTATATCTAAAAGTTATTATCTCGAACTGTCTTCTGTGACAGTGGTAGTTCGTGAGAGAATGTTGGATTGATCAGGTATTTTTCTAAATGAAGCATTTACGTTATTTATTAGTATTTACAGGGAGAAAAGTTATCCTGACTCCTTGTTATGGATAAATAAAACGGATTTTGTTTGGATAGAAGTAGATTATCTCATCTGTAGGCTTTGTGTTGAAAATGTTGTCAAACTGGTCCTGTTCTACATTTTTCTAAAACGATTCTAGACTTTCATTACCTTCTTAATGTAGTATTTGTAGCAAATAACTGGAACTCTGAAATTTTGATTCTAGGATGAATCATTTCTTGACAAATTGGGGACTCTTGGAAGAAAAAAGAAGTCACAACAACTGGAGCAGGAAGCTGAGAATGAAGCTATTGAAGTGAATTTTTTTTCCTTTTTTTGGATATCGTTGAATTTATTTAACTTTCACTTTCTAAGATTTAAAATCTATTAGGTATTGAATGTTGGAGCTCAGTTAAGTTCGGAATCTCATCGCGACTAAGTGAATGTGAACTTCATGATGTTCATATACTGATCTGAACTGGAATATAGCACATAAAGTCGGTTGGATTTAATTAGCTTTACTGAATTTTGAAGTGTTTTGGAAAACAAAAGGTTACTTTATGTAACAATACAGATTTCCAACTCCAGAATTTTTATATTGATGTAAAATAATGGAATATTATGTTTGATAGGAAAATGAATATAGCAAGTGCTTAATGGGGGCCTTAGTTAGCTGAGCATCGAAGGAGATTATTGTTGAGGGAATGTGTGAAAAGGGTGTATTAAGATGAAAAAAACTGATGGAATGGGTAGACCGTTTGATAATATTCATAGATTATGGAAAGAGTATAAGAAGAGATGAAAAGTATTCTTTCTTTGCACATTGTCATATAACCTAATCTGAATACATTAAAAGGTAGCATTGAAAAATCGATGAAACCTTCTTCAACTTATCGATGCATTAATTTATCCATATATGCTGTGTATTCTCTGTGCTTTCTTTTTCAGTTTATTTATAGTAACTTAACAGGATGTTGAAAATTTTGAGTTTTAGGTTGAAACAGAAGGAGCAAAGGCAATTGATTCTGCAGTCATCCCAGTTTCAGCGACTTTGCAGAATATTATGCTTGAAGAAGGTACATATACAATGAAACATTCCCAAATGCATAAATGTTGCTAGTTGTGTTGTTCTTCTTTCTTTCCAATCAGTTTATGAAGTTTACTTTTTTCAAATAACTCAATTTGTGAGTACACATGGAGTACTGTTTCTGAAGAGTGATATAATTTGAAGTACCATAGTTCAAATCAAAGTTTTTTCGTATTCTCGACTTCCAGTATAACATCCAAATAAAAGCTAAAGCTATAAAAGTTCAGTTGTCCTAGTTAGGAAATCAACTGGAGCAGTTTGTAGCTATTATAGTGTTATGGTATCTCTACGTAGTTCACACACTCTTACAAAAAATTATTCCGCAATAGGAAAATTTATTTAGAATTTAAATATCAGACACAGTTAAAAATTTATTCTAGGCGAAGAAAAAAGACTGCTGACCATGGAATCTCGTGACGATCCACGTGTACAAGAAGTAATACAGCTTCTGATTCGCTGGCTGAATTATGAATTAGCACCGCAAAGAATCGTTGTGAAACACATACAGGAAGACTTATATGACGGTCAAATCATACAAAAACTTACTGAAAAGCTAGCCAATATCAAGGTCTGTCTCTTATTTCTTTGAAACTTATGCTGTGATATATTCCTTGTTTTCCGAGAATATATCAGGTGTGAAAGAATTGGTTTTTTTTTTTTTAAATTTTTGGTTCTTGAAACAATTTTCGCCGGTTTTATTCTATGTAATTGTTGAATGTCTAATTTAGTAACTTCCAAGATATGATGCGTTCAGATTGAAGTACCGGAAGTGTCTCAGAGTGAGGAAGGACAGCGGCAAAAACTGCATAAAGTGATTGAAACTGTTAATCGGATCATCGCTCAGGGACAATATGAAAAAGCAAAGTGGAATGCTGATCTGATTCACAATAAAGTACTGGTTGTTTTAGTTCTTTCTTTTATCGCAAACGGAGTTGTTTGAAATCACCGATATCAAAAGGAAATTAGTGACTGGATGCCCTCAGTGTTGTTCCGATGAAATGAATTAAATGCCGTGAATTATCAGTTGCATGAAGTACAAATAGTAGCGAGCACAAAGTTTTGAGTTAATTAGGGGAACAGTTGACTATCTCAAGTCGCAAGGAAGCTCAGGTTCTGCAGAATTCTGGGTCTAAAAATGAAAATTCTCTTCGTTCTTTTATTGGTATCTTTTATGGTTTCTATTATGTTTTTTTTATGTATCGGGCAGTGTAGTATCTAGCTCTAATTTTCTGGGTTTTTTAGGAGTTTGCGAGGTGTATTTGTGCAGTTAGATGCTTATTGCAGGACACAGTAGCAATTATACAACTGTTGGTTGCGATTGCTGTTTATTTTCGCGCTCCCGTTAGATTTCCGGAATATGTGAATGCACAGATTCTCGTTGTACAGAAAAAAGACAACCAGCTGAAGAGTCGTTACATCACCGAACAGCTTACGACAACTCAGCAAGAATTGGGTGTCAAGGTTAGTTCGCACATTTCATTGTGGTATTGGGTTGGAAGTATAATCTTATAGTTCTCGCTGCAATATTCATTATTGGTTCACTTCAGTTGGAACACAGTTTATATTTTTAGGGTGAGAGAGATGCTTTCGATACTCTGTTCGACTATGGACCTGACAAACTGGCCCATGTAAAGAGTTCACTGTTGGCTTTCTGTAATAAACATCTTAACAAGATTAATTTGGAAGTGACTGATCTGGAGAATCAGTTTAAGGATGGAGTTTATTTGGTGCTCTTGATGGGTTTACTGGAGGGATACTTCGTTCCGCTTTACAGTTTCGATTTGCAGGTACTCATAGACATTTTTATTTGAAGCAGTAGTGTTGTTGATGGTGAGGAGAGGGTTACTGTGTAGTTTTTTGGCCATTGTCGCTTATTTATAAGGGTAAGAAAGGTTTGACCCGTTTCAATCAATATGTGAGCACCAAATTTCGAGTTATTTGAAATTTGAGTATTAAGTCTTCTTTCTGCGATCGATTTCATATGTTGAGCACTAATTTTTCTAGGCCTTAACATACGAGCAGAAAATACACAACGTTACGTTCGCGTATCAGCTGATGTATGAGGCCGATCTACAACGACCACGTGCACGAGTACAAGATATTGTAAATGGTGATTTAAAAAGCACGCTGCGTATTCTTCATTCATTATTTACACGATACAAACATGTATAGTCATAACCTAACAAATTTATACGATTGATCTGAAATTTATATCTCAAATCTGAAACTTATATCTTAAAATTACTGCTGATATTTATAAAATCCTACTTAGCTATAAATGTTTGTTTTACAGTTTGAGCATCAGAATATTCGTTAAGCCTTTCCGCTACATCCAATGCCATGCCGTCTTTCAAATGATCAGCAATAATCTGCACACCAATTGGAAATCCATCCTCCGTTTTCGTGAATGGTACTGAAATTGCTGGAACACCTGCCATATTACAGGGTTGTGTGTAAAAGTCGTCTTCACGTTCTCGTTTGTAACCATCGATGTCGCTAATTTCGGAAAACAGTGGTGGTATACCGCTTGTCACTGGGGTTAACAGGATATCACAGCCTTCCTTCCGAAAGACGCGGTCGAAATCCATTTTGATCAGGCGTCGGATACGAAGGGCTTGTCCAAAATATTCATCGTAATGGCTATAAATAGTCCATCAAGACGGGAAAAAAAGATCAAGTCAGTAAAAGCTTTAAATTCTGATTCTAATTATTTCCCATGAGCCTCGAGGTGGAAATCTCGGATAATAGAACTGGCGACGCCCACAGTGTGAAGACATGACAGGTCATGCACTCTAGAAGTACCGGTCGAATCAAGAAATTATTGAATGTATGTCAAAAGGCTTAACACATTGAACAGCCTAATTATATATATATATATTTTTACCGACACTTTATTTACCGAGCTGCTTCCGACAAAATCAAATTTAAAAGATGTAATTAGTGGAGATATACCACTTCATTAAGAAATAGTTCCCTGCGAATATTCTCTTACGAACAACTTCATTGAGAGATTCATTTCGTGTAGCGGAATACAGCATAAAAGTTGACCTATCGCAATCTGACCTGTGGCCGTATTTGATTCCATCGTATCTGAAAGGAGAAAATACGGAAATTGCACCTCATATCAACTTAGTCTATAATTTTGTATCTTTGAATTTAAGTTTCACAAAACAAGTTTCAGTTCAACATGTTTTGTAAAAATCTCACCTTGCCATGTTTGATGTGATATCCGCATCGGCAAGTACATGATAACAAATTATGGAGTAAGGTGTGGATGGCATACTCACTTCTTTGATCTTGCAACCCAACACAGCTAGAGCTTTTGCCGCTTCATTCCACCCTTTCCAGCACTCATTTGATAATGTTTCATTGTAATACTCCTACTGACGAAAACAGCAAAATCAACTACGCATATAGAAAAGAAACAGAATTGGATCATTTACTTGTGAGGGGATAAACTGGATACGATTTCCATGAGAACTATGTGAATTTTTAGTGAAGTCCTACACAGTTATCAGTTGATTTCAAACTTCTATTACCTTACCTTGGGAATGCCGACAATTACTCCTCTAACTGGTCTTCCCTGCATAAAACATGATGACGGTGCATCAATGCAGGTCGAATCGAATGCATCGCGACCGCTCATCACCTCTGCAGAATCATACGAAATTATATTTTCCTAAATGTGAAATTTATGAAGCTCTTAATATCTTTTGGGTCAACGACATGAATCAGCAGCAGACCTGACAAAAAAATTTGACTAGTGACATTAAAAACCTATCCCAGAAGACTCACGCATGGTTATGTATGAGGTATGACCATCTCAGACTACAATTACACTACTCGCAACACTTTATTGCCGACTGTGAAAATCAAAGTAACGTCGAACAAATGGTCGAAATTGTTGTAAAGGCGAAATACTTACGAAGTAAGAAGTTGCAATCCCTAGCAGTCCTAGCAATTATTGACGGACAATCAAGTGAATTAACCAAAGGGATGAGCCCATGTCTTGATAAAATTCCATAGGAAGGTTTGAAACCAAAAAGTCCAGTGAATGCTGCTGGGTTCCGTGATGAACCACCAGTGTCCGACCCCAAACTTCTGTAATACTCTGAATTCAATATATTTCTAAGTTGCAACATAGGTGCAATAACGAGGAAAGTGGAACTAATGCTTAAAATGCCAACACTGATGAAACGCCCAATTGCACAGCTACACCACAACCGCCAGAAGACCCACCAGGACTTCGCCAGTCAATTTCAAGACTCGCTTCATCACTTAATCCGTTTTTCACAGGTCCAAAATGACCTTTTGAACTTGAGGTTCCCATGCAAAACTCATCCATATTAGCTTTGCCAATCAAGCAGCCACCTAAAAAACAATTTTTTCCACTTATTTCAATCAACAGAGTACAAGTACGATATATAAATAAATCACCTTCTTCAAATAATCTGCTGACAATGGTGGCAGTATACGGCGCAATGAAATTTGATAGATTCCGTGATGCGCACGTTGTTCGGACTTTCCCTGTCCTGAAATTTCGATGTAAAATTTCAATACTTGCAAAAGTGGGAGAAAATAATCCTCTAATATGACATAGAAAGAACCAATTTCAGGTAGTGTGCACACAGTCTTCAAACAGCTTTGCCAAACCAATACCGTTCAAGTACTCATCCCACTTGTAAGGATAACTTTTAAATGACGGCTCTTTAACTTACGAACCCATTACAAAAAGTATTTTTTAGGAGTGTACAACTACACTGCCTTAACGATTATAAAACCAATCAACACTGTTGTGTCATATTTCAAAGTGGAAATACGGAAGACATTTTAAAAAAAATAACACACATATAGCAATCTTTGACAACCACAGGAAAAGGAGTTTTCCCTTTTTTCAATGCCTCCTTTGCCTGGATACAAGCCAGATCGAAAGTCTCGGTAATCAAAGAATTGAACTTCCGATACTTCATAGCTTTGAAAATAGCCTTCTCAATACCCTCCATTTTTGAGATCCTACAAAAAATTTAGGCCTTAAATTATGTTCGCAATGTTTGAAGTTAAATTTCTATCATAACAGTTTTCATATTAAGGATTTCATTGCTCATGAATTTCATGCCTCAGTACCACTCATACTACACATCTCGAAATTCCAGTCCAACACATAAAAATTTAGGTAAACAATTTCCCCATCCAAATCATTCTTATGGAATCCGATCTGGCAAGCATACCTCGAACATCCACTTGTGTTGTCGTGGTTTAAATAATTGCACAGTGAGTGTGAAGCATAAAGTTCGTTTGATGATGGGTTAGAATGAGCGTCAATCCACAAGTTTCGTGCTTAGTTTGCCGGATTTGTGGTTAAGACGGTTTTCAGAGGTTTGGTTAATGTTAAGTGGAGTGAATTCACATGCTCAACAGCGAAAACCTCAATGGAGGAGCAGCTGGTTGGAAAATCTGACTATAGAAATCGTCCATTTTTATCTACTTGATAGTTAGGCTTAACGATTTCCTGAAGATTGTGTTTCCATTGGCTTTCCTAACCATCTTAGAAGTCATGTGAAAGCAAACGCAGGATGGACTATGCCATTATCTTTTCCAGCTCTAATGTACAAGAATCCCTGGTATAATTTCGTGATTGTATATTATGCTTACTTAATTCTCTGCTTTAATAGAAAATTTCCTTCTAACATGCAAGTCGTAAGATATTTTTTATTTTGCAAGGGAGCGTTCTTTGCGAATGAAATTTATTTACCATAGTTTTTCATACTGTCGCTTTGGTTCCGACGCATGTTTAAACTGGAATGAATATTCTTACTTTGTTAGATAGAAAGAGAGATGCTACGTTGTATTTTTACTGTCTTACGTTTCATTTTCATTTTTTGGTAAGAGACTATTTAAATTTTAAGAATTAGGAAGAATGGCTTTCAGCTCTAGATATATGTTTTGGGATTTTGATATTCTAAGGTAACTCGAGTATCGGAAGGTCTTTAAGATGCATTGAGGCAGCAGAACAATTGTTTCTAATTTCAATTATATAATTATTAGCATTTCTATTTGAAAATAGCAGTTTCGGAATTCGATTTTGAATAATCTTCAGTGTTGTAGTAGTAGAGCAGAAACACACATTATCTTGAATCTAGAGTGCTGAAGGAATCAAAATTTATGGTTTCCATTATCTTTTTATATAAAATTTTTTCGATACATTTATACAATTTTTTTTACAAATAAATTGCTCGTCAACTAGAAAATATACAATTATGATTTGGAAGAGGAATGGGCTGATCGTTAGGAGGAGCATTGAAATTTTCAGATGCAATTCACGGCTGCATAGGATGTATTTGGTGGTCTGAAAAGTGAGCTTTGCTCTTTGCAGGCCCGGTGAAGTTTTAAATCATTACGAACATTACTGATTGTCAGAAGCTGAATATTACCGGTTGTCAACTTGTGCTCGTGAGTTTAATTTACATCTGTTAAATTTTATACAAATTTAGTCATGTAATTCAATTTCATGAAATTTTTGTGATAGTAGTAACTATTTTCTCTTAAAATAAAACGGTGGCTTATAAATTTTGAGATAGACATTCCATGTTGCTTAGTGGATGAATGATGTTTTCTGGGTTTCATCAAGTAATGCGACGCGTTATCTGTGCATTAGTGCTGTGGGCATATCTTTTTGTGGAGGGCGATGAACATGATCATCTATATCGTGATGGTGAAGAGGTCAGTCAACAACATTCATTCAGTCGCTAATCTTTTTCTATTATCACAGCATTTACTCATTGTAGATATGAGAAAAGGTCTCCATATTTTACAGCTGCATATTAGTTGTGTCCATGTACTATCCCGTTTTCAGATCTTCAATAGGGACCATCAGTGGTCTCCACTAGTCAACAAAAGGCATTGTCCTAACTTGCATGAGGCTATTAAGAGAAATCTTCTTTTCACATTTTAATATTAAGTAATCCAGCTGAGAAGCCATTATTAAATTAATTTAAATCGATTATGACTCAGGTAAGCGGGAGATGATTTTACAGTTCTATAAAACCTAAGCACTTTCTCTCCGATCTCTTTTGCAATGAGGAGGAGGCTTTTATTGGAGGAGAACTAATAAACATCTATAAGTGCAGTAAATAGACTGCATTTGAATTTTTAAATTTACTTTTTTATTTTGACGGAAATTAAGATTGTATTATGGATGAACACAGTTGGTCCATACAGCAATCGGCAAGAAACCTACGCATATTTTTCGTTACCTTTCTGTCGAGGGCCGAAGCACTCAATCAGTCATTATCACGAAACATTGGGAGAAGCACTCTTGGGCGTTGAACTTGATTACTCAGGGTTGAATATCAAATTTAAAGGTTATTGTCTTCGACTGGATCTAACAAATGAAAGTTGTTTTTGTTGCTAAATAAAGATTTTTACAGAAAATGTGGAAAAAATGGAATTTTGTAAGAAAACACTTAGTGAAGAGGACTACAAGCAGTTCGTTTATGCAGTACGAAATAATTATTGGTATCAGATGTATCTTGATGAACTGCCTATGTATGGTAAGTGTTCTGTGTAGTCAAATTTCATTTAATTGCTGAAGTTCAAGTGGTCAAAATTTGGAAGATTATATCTATGCCATTGTTTCCTAGATATGATTGTTTTTACTTTTTTTTATGTGATTGGAAATGAAACTAATTTTAGGTATGGTTGGTGAGATCGATTCATTAACAACTCCACCAAATTATCGGCTTTTCACACACAAAAAACTAGAAATTGGTTATAATGGAAAGCAAGTAGGTTACAATTTGTTTTCCGTTATTCTAGTTATTTTAAATGTCTGATTTTTGCGTATCATTGATTCTTGAATTTCATCTTATTCTGTGGTTATTAACACAAATTGTTATCTCATTGAAGTTCTTTTTACGAATAATTCGTTGATATTTTTTAAAGATTGTGGACATTAATGTGACCTCAGATGTCCGTGTCGCATTGGCACCTGGTGCGTCCATCTCCTTTACATATGAAGTTGTTTGGAAATCTTCTGATGTAGAATTTGATAGACGGTTCGAGAAATATCTGGATCCAACCTTCTTCCAACACAGCGTAGGTCCATTTTCAAGAAGGGATTTCAGCTCATTTTTTTTCTGTTGCCCTAAGTGTTAAATTTCTAGATACACTGGTTCTCCATTTTCAATTCGTTTATGATGGTAATCTTTCTGGTTGGGTTGGTCTGGATGATACTCATGCGAACGCTGAAAAAAGATTATGCTCGTTATCAAAAAGATGAAGATCTTGATGACATGGTAAGACGATATTTTTATATGGTTTAAAAATTTTTCACTTAATTTACTCTATCAGCCCACATTTTTTGTGCTTCTTCTATAAATTTCCAGTATCGTACAATATTTTTCGTTATCGTTTATATGTAGGCACATAACCTTTGGAGAATATTGATATCCAATCGAGTTTTTCTTATTTTTAGAGGAACTTCATTTCAGGAGCGTGACTTGGGTGATGAATACGGTTGGAAGCAGGTGCATGGAGATGTGTTCAGAACACCATCTTTTCCAATGCTTTTTTCATCGTTGGTTGGTACTGGATATCATGTGTTTACAGTTGCAATAATCACTATCATTCTTGCCATTATAGGCGAATTTTATACAGAGTAAGTTGATTTTTTTTCTAAACAAATATAATGGGCGCTCGACAGTCGATAATCTCGCACTACATATGTTGCTGGACTTTCTATACCACTTTGTTTCAGAAGGGGATCATTGTTGAGTGCCGTTATTTTTGTATATGCTGCAGCATCTCCAGTAAATGGTTTTGTTGGTGGGTCGATGTACGCTCGATTTGGTGGCAAACAGTAAATCTTTTCATTTTTCAACATTATAGAACCGAAAAATTGATTTTAGATAGATTCTGAAGTTTTATTTACTAACTTTTATAGGTGGATACGTCAAATGGTATTTGGTGCATTCCTTTTACCCTCTTTGGTATCATCTGTGGCGTTCTTGATCAACATTGTCGCGATATCATATCATGCGTCAAGAGCCATCCCATTTACAATTATGCTTGCCGTCACCGCTATTTGCTTATTTGTCATTCTCCCGTTAACTTTAGTGGGAACTGTACTCGGTCGGTCACATTCCATATAGTTCTAATGAAAGAATTATAAAACTTTAACAAAACAGCTAAATTACTCAACTTCTTTTGAGCTCAGGACGCAACGTGAAAGGACAGAGTGATAATCCGTGTCGAGTAAATGCTGTTCCACGTCCGATTCCTGATAAGAAATGGTTTCTGGAACCATCACTGATTATTCTTCTTGGTGGTGTTCTGCCGTTTGGTTCTATCTTTATTGAAATGTAACTTTTACTTCTTGAAAGGAAGGAATCGTACTTTTCTAGAATTTTGCTGTGATAATTCAGTAATTTTGAAAAATTGCAGGTACTTCATCTTTACGTCATTCTGGGCATATAAAATATACTATGTTTATGGCTTTATGCTACTCGTTACTCTTATTCTTGCAATTGTTACGATGTGTGTCACAATTGTGTGCACTTATTTCCTCCTGAATGCCGAAGATTATCGATGGTAGGCCTTCTGCTTCAATTATTTTACTTCTAAATTTTCTTATAAATCTAAAGCAAGTTTGTAGTTTTCTCTCGGAATAACTGTGATGTTTCTGCAGGAGATGGACCAGCTTTTTGGCCGGAGCATCTACATCTTTTTACGTCTATCTTTACTCAATTTATTATTTCTTGTTCAAGACAAAGTTAGTTATTTTTAAATCTACCGTTCCAATTCGAACTGCACAAGATTTTATTAATTTCAAATTAATATGATTCTAAAAATCGGATAAAATTAAATTTTTAGGATGTATGGGCTTTTCCAGACTGTATTCTACTTCGGGTATATGGGCTTGTTTAGTGCAGCCCTTGGATTTATGTGTGGCACAATCGGCTACTGGGGTGCTGCAAAATTTATCCATAAAATTTATTCAACGGTGAAAATTGACTAGATTCATTCATATTGGTTCTTCAATAATTTGTACGCAAAGGTTGCTGAACTATAGGTGAAGAATTAATTCCATGTGATACCTACGAACATCTATATCGGATGATCGAGGTGCTCCACCCTGTCTTGTTTTAGTTTTTTTGTAAACATTATTTCTCGATAAGCGTAGAAAATAGCGTAAAAAGTTGCCTTGTAACTAAAATTTGCCTAATATACCCACAAACTGTTTTGAAAATACAGTTGTCTTGTCACTACGGGTTATTGATATCATTTAAAAAAGTAAACAGTTCTGACGTATTTATTTATAAAGATGTGATTGTCGACATAATTATGTTTATATTGCTATCCTTACGGACTTAAAAATTTGAGTCCTACTTTAGGAGAAAATTTTGCAGTGTGATGAGTTGTTAGCTGCATTACATAATTATCTATTATCGAGCCAGGAACTAATAATCTATGATGTGACTCTACTGTGCATTTATTTAATCGAATATTTGTGACCTTTATAGTTAAATACTTTTAAAGGCTTGTGAATTATCCAAAGTTCATCAAAAACGAAATTCGTTTTCTTAAGTGAAATTCTGAATTTTTATCTTTTCATCCGGAAGCTTGAAAGTAAATCATTTGTTTGTATATTAAATATTTTCCATTGCAAAGTGTTGGGATGTCTATTTTGTCATTTCCTTGTTATCAGTTTTCATGGTGATAAAATCTGTTTTTCACTTTAACATGCAATCTGAAAAAAGCATTGACGAGGTGGCTGGGTTATGAGTTGCTCTTATTTCAAAAAATTCAAACTGTTGCTCTACCGCATTTCATGTTATGTTTATAAGTAGTCGATCTACCCATCGGCGGTTGTTTCAATGAGGACGAGCCTAAAAGAAAGTCGCAACTCGTGTCCTTGAATTACATTTCGTTTTTCGTATTTGTCACCTGTCTTTTGTTTTTTTTTTTTTGTGAGGGTTTTCCGCGTTCAGAGTTTCTGAATGAGAGTTTCTCCCTTGAATTATTAATTATAAGGAGTCAAAGACTAAAGCCACATAGGAAGCATAATAGTGCTCAATAACAAGAATATATATAGCTCAACTTGTAGCAATAAATGGTTTCGTATTTCTCGCTCTATCCTTGCTTTCGATCGTGAAGTGTCAGCACATTGTTTTGGTAAGATTATAGGTAGGATATCTCATGACAACATTCCGATAAGGTTTATCTTGATGGTGGCATCAAAAAGTATCACGGCCTGCTCGCTCTCCGCTTTCTATTTATTATTAACTTCTAGTTTTATGAGATATCTTTAGTAATAGAAAGTAAGTGATACAGGTCAGAAGAGTAGCAGAAACACTAAAGGCGTGTTTCGGGAAGTGATACTGGTAAGGATGGCTGGATTTCGACGACTACATTGTGTTTATTTATTTGATCGTGAGTTAGATCACTTCTTATCAGTCATTATCACCAATTCCCTAAAATGTCATCTGGTGATAACTATCGTCCTTGACATCTGTTAATAACATCCGTTTTCTTATACTAATCACGATGGCATTTGAAAGTACGTTATACCGCGAAAACCGATGTCGTACATCTTATTGAGTAAATGAATTGCTGCAGATAAGAGCACCGGATTGGTGCGATGACAAATCTATTCATAAGCGCACTGGTTCGTAAACTCCTAAATTGTTTCTGTGTTCGATATTTAGGAGTTGCTGACCAGGCATATATCAAGGTGCGCTTGAATCGGATTCACGTGATCTATTAGTAGTACTTGGAGGTCCATCGATTCTCCGTTGATGTTTCATTTACATATCTATCGGGTTAGTTTTCTTTCCTTTTTGAATTGTTTGGAAAAGCTAAAAGCGTGGATTAGAAAGTGGATTAAGGAGAGACGAAAAAAATATCCTTTCAAACTTCATCATGCTTCAATTTTTCTTTTATTTTATGGTTTTGAAGTTTTATTCTATTGGTTGTTGGTGAAAGCCGTTTAAGATTTCCCAACCAGATGTACTCGCTCAACCATTGTGAGAGCTCAGTCTAGATCAGTGAGATTCTGTTTTAAAATCGTTTCAATGCAGGCCAGATTTTATAGTTTCAATACAGCAACATAAAAACAAGGATTGGAGTTATTAAGATCCTGGTACTCGCAATCCTAAGTCAGAACTTGGAACATGGAACTAGATTTTCTTATGAGGACTGAATTCGACCCTTAGTCCGTTTAGATCCTTTTTTCTAGCTTGATCGTGATCCTTTTGCAATAAATTTTTTGGAAGAGGATTTTGCATAGGCAGTTAGCATCAGCTGAAATAATGTTGTAGAGAACTGACGCGAGCAAATACCGAAGAAGAAAATAGCATGTGACGTGATATGACGATCGAGGATTGCCCTATCAGCAGGTGTTTTATTTGTTAAAGAAAATGACCTCTACGATGGGTTGACCTCTGTCTCTTCTACAGCCATTAACATAATCCTTTGCTTCGGGTCCTCAGCCCGTCTTCTCTCCTTTCCTACTTCCTCCACATCTCCTTCCCCCTTAGATCCACTCAGTTGTATGTTTGCATTCTGATGGTGGTGACTGCGCACCCCATTTTAAACTGCTGCATATCATTCAGGAAACATTGATTACCATTTCAGCACACAAATTTTTATCCAATCCCTCTTTCCCATCAGTTACTACTTACTGACTCAGTAGTCCACTTATTCATTCATTTAATTCATTCAATTCATTCATTCAACTCATTCATTCATTCATTCTCTCAATTCATTCATTCTTTCAATTCATTCACTCATTCTTTCAATCCATTCATTCATTAATTCATTCTTTCAGTTCATTCATTCATTCATCATTCTTTCAATTCATTCATTCATTCATCCATTCATTCTTTCAATTCATTCATTCTTTCAATTCATTCATCCATTCATTCATTCATTTAATTTATTCATAAATGAAATTTATTCATCTCCATCCGCATCCATTCATCCTTCCGTATCCATCCATCTATCCGCATGCTCCATCCGTCCTTCCTCATCCATCCATCCATCCGCATCCATCCATCCTCATCCATCCATCCGCATCCATTCGTCCATCCGCATCTATCCATCCGCATCCGTCTATCCGTCCGCATCCACTGGTCCGTCCGCATCCTTCTGTCCATTTAATCCATCTCTCCGTCAATGCAAACAATCCATGCATGGCATAGTTTCCTTCGATAACCTTCAATTTTCACTAAAATCTACTTTTTTTGCAAATTTATATCCGCAAAATAAAGTGAACTCCTAAATTGTGGTGCCAATAGACTGCAACTTTACATTTGATTTTGTAGATTTTGTTGGCTTTCACTTTAGTGAGGTTCCCATTGTTCATAATCCGTGTGGAAAACGCCATCTCGGAAATAGAGAATGAAGGGAGGAATATGAGAAGGTGAAAGAGATGAGGAAGAAAGAGCAGAACAAGTTAAATGTTCATCATCACAATCGTATTCGAAATCTGAAGGGAGATACAGCGGAAGATGGACAGTCTCTTGTTTTTCGTTAAAGTAATCATTCCATTGACAGTTATGTTATCTCATTTGCAATTTAAACAAAAAAAGTCATCAGGGAAAGATTTGTGCGGTCACTGATTCCAATGTCTTTTAAATAGCGTTTTTCTATGTTTGTGCTTCATTGACCAACAATTCGAGGATAATTCTCTAATACGTTGTCAACGGGGGGAAGTTTGATATGCAAGCCAAAGGAACTAGGTCGAATCGAATCAAGTTCGACTCAAGTTCTATACGCACACATAGTTTCATGTAGGCACTTATATATTTTCGTTGGCAGTGAATGTACCTAAAAGCGGATATATCCTCCACCTTCGTCTTTCGTTTTCAGGGCTACTGTTGGTTTTGGGGGGTAGGTTATCAGGAGTGGTCATTACCGAGATTGCAATATCTGATTGCAGTAGCGAAGCGTTTATACCTCTCAGTGTGTTACCACTAAATTTAGAAAAAATCGATGATGCTGTATTAATAAGCTTGACAAGAAGTTGTTGCTCCACGACATTTTGCAGTTGTCACTTTTATTATTGATATGATGCGAAAATCGATGTTGTTGTGTAAGGTAGCATTAGAGGATGCTGTTATTTGCGTGTTTGTTATTTTTCGGGGGGATTGGGGGGAGCACAGATACGCTTGGAATGCTGGGGGATTTATGTTAAACAGAGGTTTCCGGAAAGTGATTTCAATTGATTCTGGGGAGTTCCGCTCCCGCGCATACACTGATAATGATGTTTACATGAGGGGAAAGGTTTGGGCAGTGGTTAACAGATGGTACGAGGGGGCCATCGCTTGATCTGGTCATAGTGAGTTTTAGTTTGTCGGTTACTTGGTCTTTCTGTTTGCAATACTTGTTAAGAAGGGAGTTATTTGGGTCTGTAAGTGGCCGGAGGTAAGAAGAGCGAGAGGGAAGGGTAAGAGTGTTGGAAGAAATTAAGAAAACCGAAATGAGTTCCTTGTAGGTGATTTACTAATGACTGACTGATTTCTGAGTAAATTTTGAATGTTTAGGGAAGAGGTGTGGTTATGGTAGGTGCGCTAACAAGAGCGAGGATAAAGGAAAGGGGACAAGGGGACAGTCAACGGTGAGGAGGGGGTAACTGCTACTACTAACAATGGGCTTTCGAGGTAGGAGTGCTGCTCTGTTGATTAGTGTTGCTGGGCTCTCCTACTGTGTCTCTCTTCTGAGTTAGTGAGTTGATAAGTGCTATCAGAGACAAACTGAGCAAAGGGTTACTGCTGTCATCGTCACTGCCCCTCATCACCGCTTCCACCAGCCATCAACCTTACCTCTCTTGCTACTTTACTTCGATAATAGGCGAAGCAAGCAATACAGGGAGGAGAACACTACCAATGGAACCTCCATTGTCGAGACATCCATAGAAGAGATGAGACAGGGCGAGAGAGGACGTAGCTGTAAGCGAAGGCGAGAACGGGACAGAGGTGTTGTAGAGAGTGATTGATCGAGATCGTTGTTCTTTGTGACAGATTATGTTGCTCGCTACTGACGATGAGATATTATTATGTCTTCCTCATCCTTCATCTCTCTGCTCTCTTTTATTTCCTATCTTGCGTCAACTACGTGGACAGTTGACGTATTAAGCTGTGATGTTGATACCATTTTGATAAATGTTTTATTCTTATCGTCCTCGTCCCCGTTCATGTCAATTCAAGTCCTTTGAAATAGAATTACCCGGAAGGTGTTATTGAAAGTATGCTGTACACAGGCTTAGATAATGTGCTCTCATTGTTTTTTTATCAGTCCTCTCCTCAAAGGCAATCTAAAAATTGTTGCATCGTTTGAGTGAATATATCATCACCGTAAGTAGTAGAAAGTGAGTTAGTTTGTAGCGTAATCATAATAAAAATGGAAATGACCAATCCGCCATCACGAATATATTAGCACATTTTGGCCTACTCATCATTGAACTACCTGATTATTAGCGTGAAACATCTGGCTGTGACATGTTCACTGCTATATTATTGGTTGCATAAATCAGTGAATGCATTAGTCCGGTCCGCCCTGCAAGCAGAGTTAGACGTTGTTAATGATGTTGTCGGTTGATGTGGTCGTTGTCATTTGGCAGTTTACCAAATGGTCGGTGTTATTTCATAATAGTAAATCTCCCTGAAATGAAATGAAATATTTAATCTCTGGTGCTACTTCGAACAGCTTATTATTAGCACTGTTACCGTGGCGTTCTGTTATGTTATGTTGATGGTGCTGCTGAGTGGCGGTTGTTAAAGTTAATCAGTCGCAGGTGCGAAATGATCAGTGTCTAACGTTCTACCTGTAATGCATTCATACAGCTTCACTATATCTTACCAGAGCTCTTCTTTCATTGATTTGAAATTTTGCTTGCTAGCCATCGGATTGCTTTTCTTTCCATGCTGACACTTAACCTTAACCTTTTAATACTTTAACGATTTTATTTGAAACTATCAAACCGTTCCATCATTTTGTGTCACATCACTGTATCACTGAACTTTATCCTCTTAGCTTTCTGCTTTGTGTGGTATCTTTCTAGTTAACCTCACTTTAATGTCTTAAAGCTGACGCTTCACTTATGGTAATCAATTTCAGACTCCTCCAACGCACAGCTTATTTTCCTTATTTTTTATCACCTCTTGTTTGTATTTTTCGCTTTTTCGTCAGGAAAATAGTCTTTCCTTTACAGTTGACTCATAAATACCACAATGAAAAAGGTAGTACGAACTGTTCTCTTCCTAACAGTCAATTGTTTAAAGGATGAGCAAGCTTAACCGTTGTAAGAATCTGCCATATTTACTGACTGCTTAGACTATATTTATTTTTTAATAGTTTCAAAGGTTGTACAAGATATTTATATGGTTTATTCAACATTTTCTTTTAACATAGATGAGCAGGTTAGTTATAATTATTCTGCATTGCTTGCCACTTTTTCGTCACATTTGCTTTGTAAGCTTACTAAATGTTGCGTAATTATAAGCGTCTTGCATGACAGGTTCAGCTGTATACAGATAACGTATTGCATTCACCACAGGCTATTGGGAATGTACAGAAGACAGGATAGGAAGTATGCGCAGAAACAATGCTATTCAAACATGATAATGCACTTTAATAATATAAGTTGGCTTCGGATTTTATGATAGTATTGTGATCTCCATTCAGATTGCTTCCCTTATCAGTTTTTCTTCGAGACGCATTTGCTTTTCAGAGATTAGTGTATTGATGCTATCTTGAAAGTTGTTTTTTCCAGTGTTGAGAAACATGTGTACAAGAGAGTATCAGTTAAGGTTGATGATGTAATCATGTTGAAGGAATACACGATTTGTAGTTGGTGACGATGAGCTGATGAGGTGGGTAGGTCGTGAGGTAGGGGGTTGGACGATCGAAGATATGCAAATAAATAACAATAAGGGGATAACCTCTGCGGCATACGAGAGGCGTGCCTATCATTTGGTGACATATGTATGATTGACCTGTACGACACACAGCGGAAAATATTCGTGGTAGCAGGTAGTGTTGCAGTTGCTGGTGGCACTGAATTCAGTTAGTACTTACCCAACTGAGCAAATAATAGTTCGTTGTGCTAACCTAGGTGACAACTTTATGTTCTTATCGTTCGACGACTAACCTAGGAGACAGCGTACTGTCTCCGGTACACCCACTCCTCCTCCTCCTCCTTCTCCCTCCTCCTCCTCCTCCTCTTTTTCCTCCTCCTCCTCTTTTTGCTCCAAGTGACCGTGTTGTGAACTGGTTTTACAGAGGGGTACTGCTGATGTTCATTGATGTGACTCATTGAGTATTCCTCCATCTTTCCGTTCCCTCTCTATTCAACACTCACCGCCCTGTTCATCTTCGACTTTACAAACTTTACATTGTTTAGCGAATTTTTATTCTTGCTTTTCGTCATCACTTTAAATCTAGAAATTCACTCTGTGGATATCTGATTTTTCACGTAATCCAAGCATGTAACATTTTCACTAATTATGATAACCATATTATTACTTTTTCTATAATTTAGTCTTCAAGCTCTTTTACCGTGACGCCACTGTTAAAATAATGCTATTGTTTGTTAACATATCCGCATGAATTCAATTTCTTCTTAGCAGTAGCCAGATAATATGCATATCGTTTATCATTATATCTGTACTGAAATATAAGTTGTTCGCTGATCTTGCTAACCGTCTCCTCTCTCTTGCTGTTCGTAAGCACTATTATGGGCTTTTTTGTTATTGCTTGTTCCGCCTTTCTAAATCATAATTGCTTGGGCATTTTGTTTTGAAGATAACGAAAAATGACGTCATTCTTTTTTATTGAAGGCACCATCATCGATCTCAGCTGAAGAAACGTTCGAGATAGAACTCTCTGTGAGTGCATGCGTGTGCAGCAAGGATGACAATGGTAGCTTCCTCGCCTCTTCCATTAACTACAAATATGGGTTGTGCATCGTGTCGGCAACTTCATGCTGATATAAAGGTTTGGTTTTGGTAACTTATAATTCAATTTCTGCAAGTAGTTGATTTAAAAATCTCAGTACGTAAAAAGGTGAAGTAACTGCACAGTCTTCTGTGCCAAACGCTTTTATTTCAATCCGTAGTTTTTTTCTATTGTAGCTAGTTTCTAGTGCTGTTGGAAAAATTAAGAATTACTATTGATTGTCAATAACAAAATATTACTTATAAATAGTGTTTTGGAGTTCAGGATTGTGTTGCGCAACTATCCGATAAGCTGGATCAATTACGTGTGCGGGTTGAAACATTATTTGCGCTAAGGCAACCTGGATATGGAATTGACGTAGCAGTGAGTGCCGATGATGATAAAAGTACGGCTGAGAGATCAATAACTCTGAAAGATGAAGCGGTAGGTATGATTAGCTTCAAAAATACTGATTTTTGTTACTAAAATTCAGTGCCACTACAGCAAATTTTATTAATAGTGGAGTTTTGTTTCGCATTTTTCTGTTGTTTGAGTAATTTTGTAGTGGAGTTTTTAGAGTCCAGTCCTATTCTATATATTTAGCGCATCATGTGTTTACATTACTGAAACGTGTAAGCTTTTTTGCACTGCAGTTTAAGAGATATTTCTTTTCATCCAGGTTTAGAATTTTATTGGATTGTGATACTGAGAAGTGTTAGCCACATTTGCATATTGATTTTTTCTAGGTCTCGGAATGTGGAACAGAAGAGAAAGAGACACCATCGCCTTCATTGCTTGAGAATAGTGATACAACAGTAGGAAACGCTGAGAGGTAGAATTTTTTGTTTCTTATTAATGCTTTCATAGTAACGTTAGTGTTCCTTTTGGTCTTGAATTTTTGGTTTAGAACAAGACTTATAAAGAATGGCTCAGTCGTTCAATTTTTAGTGAGGTGACGCCAACAGATAATCACAATCATGCACTGAGCGGTAGCAGGAAACGGAAACCAAACAGGGAAGCAGTACATAGAGTAGAGAAAGTTAACAACAGTAACAATTTGCTTGCTCAGAATCTGGTAAGTGTGCAGCTCTTAGAAAATGTTTTGTTAACACTGAACACGCTCAGAGCTCTTTATCAATTCGGGATACATATGCTGAATGGTTCGAGAATAGATTATTTTGAAGTACTGAGGGGGACTTTTCTAATTATTAAAAGACGCGAAAAATGTTTTGGTACCGGTATCTCAATGAAGATGTGTGTTTCATGCAAATGCCGTTCTAAGCTGTTGGCGTACGTCGTTGACATGTTAAGAATATGATCCAAAATATATAGTGAATATTTGTTTTTTTTTTTTTTTTTTTTTTAAATAAACTATTCGATTTTTTCTCTCTTAAGATACTCCTGGAGTCGATTTTGTAGCAGTAGCGTTAAATGAAACATTTTGAATGATGATGATGCAGTTTGTTTCTTTTCCTTTTTTTAAGAACACATGTCTTGGATATATCCGTACGTTCGAAACCGATTTACTGCAGGATTCAGTTGCAAATCAAAAGCCAATAGAAGCAACCGTTAAGACTGATGGTTTCATGTATCCGGCAGCAGCCCTTTTTGACTCTTTTTCATTGGCTGCAAATTTGATGGCCACTGGCGGAGCGAATGCAGCGGCGCAGCAAAATATTCTTTCAATGCTGTGCCAGCAACCAGCCACAGCCCATCCTCCCACTTCGTCTACACCAAATAGCACAGAAGACGGTGTGAATGATTTCGTCATGGAAGTAAGTTCTTTCTTGATGTTCTTTGAGTTTGCTTGGAATTTGCGGTATTTGCGAGTTAGGGCATGATAATTTTTCATGGAGGGAAGTTTTTAATAAATTTTGATGGAAATGGCTGTCTTGATCATTTTTGATAAAAGAAACTTCTATCAATTCTTTAGAGTAGACTTCAGTTTGCGATGTACTAAAGTATCTATTAATATTATTTTACATTAGTTTAGAAAAAAATTTCTTTTGTTCGTTCTTGCAAATTTGAGATTTTTCCGCAGGAGGAGGAAGACACAAGTAATAATAGCAACAACAATTCTCCGTCAATATCGCGATGCAGTAATTGTTTGACAACAAAGACAACAGCTTGGAGGAGGGATCAGACTGGTAAATTAGTATGCAATGCGTGCGGCCTTTATTATCGTTTACATAGGGTGAGTTTTCATCAGTTATTGGTGATGACCAATTAGCATTTCTGCCTACTGGAATCATCTGATCAGGAACTTCGTCTTTTCTCTTTTTTTCACATCTTTTTTAAGCTCTATATTACACAAAATTCATCTGCTTTGATGCTTAGAGATAGTTTCCCTTTCTACAGAATATTTTACATTTTTGGATGGTGGGAATTTAATGATTAAGAAACGAATTTTCATAAACAATTTTTGCAGACAAATCGACCGGTACATATGCGAAAGGATATCATCCAGCAGCGTTTCAGACGCCGTGTCAAAGAAGAGGATGCTGCATCAGCTAATCCACAATCGGTCCTTTCGTCATTAATTTCCATTTCACCTTCAGCTGCAGCTACATTTGCACTTCTAGAACAACAGCATAATACATTGCAAGGGAATCTCAATGGACAACCGTTATTTGAACAGCAGAATGCGTTACAAGCCCAGAATCAAGCGGCACCTATTTGATTGTGGTACTTCTAAGTTCGTAGGTGATAAGTGGTCCTTTTTTCCTCAGCATAATTACAGAAAAACGACAGATGTTACGCTTTTTTTACAAATTTCCAGATGAATGCGTAGTTTTCGTGTTTCAATCTGGTTTATTGTTTTTTCTCTTTTTTTTTTGGTTTAGTAAGTGTAATTTTCCTGGCATAATACTTCATCATTTGAAACCATTTCAATAGTTTTTTATGCTTATGCAAATTGGCACAGTTATTTTTATTTTTACCGCAAAGTTCTTTTTTGCTGTATTTGATACTCACTTATGTATATAATCAGATGGAGTTGCCTTGGCTGCTTTTTTTTTAAGAATTCTCGGCTATTAATTATGGTTTTTGAGCCACTTTTTGAGTTTGATTCGTAAAATGAAATCAAGTGCAAAGCGAGCGGTAATCTCCTTGGGTTTTATGGGATAAAGAAGCAAATCAGGTTGCGAATCGTAACAAAAATTAAGTAGGGGATGGAAATGGATGAAAACCTTTGATTTTGGATTAAGGTATTGGTTGGAGTCGAGCCTGTGCATCTCCAATGCTTTGAGTTTTTTTCTTTCAAAAATTTGTTTTGGAGCATATTCATTGTTTTGAAGATGTCTTCCAGTTTTGAACAGTCACTTTGTTATATATAGCGACCAGCAGCCGGGTTTTTCCAGTCGTTTTCATCATGTTTTTAAAATTTCTCCGTCTTAAGATTTTCAAAGACACTGCTTTAATATTTTGTGCTTTTTGTTCCGTTAATATATGTGTAGCTTTCTCTGTTTAGCCCTTAAGCAGCTGATTTTTTTTATTCGTTTTTTTCCTCCTTTGAACTACCGATGCATAAGCATAATCTCTTACTTCCAAACCGTTGTGTACGCATGTTTTGCACTACCGAGCTTTACCTGTTTATTTCATTTTTTTTTTCTAACTTTACATTTCTTTTCATTTGTTTCCCATCTTTCTCTCTGTTACCAGTGTGTCTTTTGTTCACTTCATCTATATTTTCCATTCCACAATAGCATTTTTGTTTGTTTTCTTTGACTGGTGTAAACCATCTCTTATGCACATATTGTTCTCAAATTCGTCATATATTTTCAAACTTGAATTTGAATCGATTTTATCAATTTAATTCTCATGTAGAAGCCCGTGTCAAAAGAATTTGGTTTTTTTGCAATTCCCTTTTTGCTTTTTCTCGCATAGTCATTTCGTCATCTTTTTTACATAATTTGTTTCTCTAGTAATGGACGTGCATAATATCCTATAATGGTGCGAGCAAAAGTTTTTAACTCTTTAAAAAATGTCATTCACATGTTCCCGACAAGAGAAAGTAGGGTTTGTACACCGCCTGGAAATCATTTGATTTACTGAGACGGTAGACTGAGGTCCTGAAAATCTCAGAATTTCTAGGATGCAATAACAAAATTTTCGAATTTTTATTTGTGGTGAGGATGGTTTCCTATCTTGTTTGCTGGTGTAGTGAATGGAGTTCCAAGATTGGTACGGTTATTGTGATTTGAAGTTCGATTATTTTAATTTACCCCAGTTAAACAATAGCGAAGTGGACTTAACCAACTTGAGGTTACAAGTCCTGCTAGTACTTTTTGGATCAATAGAGCTCGCTGTCAGGAATGGGTGGAGCGCAATTTTCATTTATGAGGATTAGAACTAGGTCATCCGATGATTATTGTATATCATCTGTTGAATTGAGAAGATAATGATTTGGGTACATCGTACCTGGGATTCATTTTTCACTCGCCGTGAAGAGGCATTGCTGGACTGATTATGACTGCGTTCGAAATGTGTATGGGGAGAGAGGGGGAAAGGTTGGTGGTTGGTTGATACTCATTCAACATTGGGGCAGACTGGTGGAGAGCGGATGTTAACCGATAGTGGCTTTGTGGGATGGAGGGGAAAATAGATGAGGCAGAGGCCTGTGTCACCCCCAACGTTTCATTGTCATCCTGATGGTCCGTCCTCTTGCAGTTGTTCACCCTTGGAAAGCGTCTTTCCAGTTCGTATTGTGAAATGGCCTTGTTGTACTCTCGTCATCACCATTATCGATATCAGTCCCACAAATAACTTGCTAGTCCTTGTTCCCTGTGCGCTTCCTTCTACTGATTTTCCTATGCATTCCTCAAAGAGACTAGAGTTGCTCCTATAAATAACAATGCTCGAACCCTTCGCAGTCACTATGGCACTCCCTGCACATACATTTTGCTACACCTTGTTATCAAGTAATTTTAGGTTGCACGTATATATATATATATATATATATATATATGCACATCAGGGAAGTATTTTCTGTTGATGTCGGACTACTTCCAGTGATTCCGTGATATAGAAAAGAGAAAAGCGGGACATCCTGTACAAGCATGGTGACATCCTATTTCCCTCATGATAGCACTCACTGGATAGACAGATGTACATGCGTGGCGTGCGCATGTGTGTGCATGTGTATGTGGGGGCGTCTGTGTACCTTCGCACAGACTATCACTATAACCGACGCACATTGACAGGCACTACCACTGCCGCGATCACCATTATCTTCCTCTTTCCTCCTACTTCCACCCGCCCTCTCACTGGCCTTTGCCGCATCACGGACGGGGCCGTATCACAAATTGGTGGCATCGGACAAGCTACATTTACACCTTGAATTATATGGTTTTCCAGATCTGCCTTTCGAGGCTGTAAGCTTGACGTATGTATGACAAGGGCCTTGTTCTGTAGTAGTTCTATGGTTATCGTCAAGTTATGATGTGCCGCAGTTTTGCTCCCTTCCACCTTGATTACTTTTAGAATGGGTTTCATTGTTTACAAATGAACTGAAACAATATTTATACAGCCTTGCATAAAAAAATGAGTTCCTCGCGTTTGACAAGCTTAAAAGCTGCAATGACGTTTGATTCTTTCCACGGATAATAATCAGTGCACATTGCAACAATCAAAACTTACTTGTGTAATATCTCAATGAACAGAGCGCAATCGACAATGAGTGCTTGGAGAACGGGAGAATCACATCCACCTAGATGAACTTGCTAGTCGCGGAGAAAAAACCAACATTTTTGTCGGAAACAAAAAACCAAGCAAAATAACATTGGTAGAAAGTGGACTGCACAGAATGTCCTAGAAATCACAGCAAACAAAGCATAAATTAGCTGCTATCACAAGCAAGCAAAAATTGTTCCGAATATCCGAAATCCACACACAGTATGAAATAAAGGTGTGGGTTGCCAGAAAATGTGAATGAAAAGAAGACTAATCATTAAGAAAGATATTAAGAAACCATAAAATTACGATCTTAATAGAGATGAAGAATTATTACAATTGAAGTAGAGAGTTTGCCTAGAAAAGAACAAAATTGCACAAAATTCTTGTCAAATGTAAGCCTCGAGATCAACGTCTTCAGCAATTCAAATTTGCGTTCAAATTAAACTACTAAGATTTTTTCGCATAATTCCTTAAATTTGGCATATGCTACTGATATTCAATTCATAATGTGGCGAAATTACCTTATTAACTACATCCTGTAATGCTTTGCGTAAAATAGTCTGCAGAGCTTATACGATTTGGAACCGACCTCATATGTGGAAATAGTCCTTAAACAGGTGTGCAAAATAAACCCTCCTTATTTTAGTGATATATGTTTGGTGAAAATCAATTACTGCAGGCAAAATAAAGTAGAAGGCAATTCTTGCTTGGAATGGTCAAAGCATCAATATCAGTAAAGAAAGAAAGGATCTGATGCCTAGAAGGGTAGATAAGGACTGAACAGCGTTCAAAATATCAGTCAGTTTTTTTTTCGTCTTTCGATTTTTTCGGTTGATTTTTCTTCTCGATTAGATGCTTCTCACAGTAATTAAGCATATCATATGCTTCACCACGAATGCCAGCGACCGATAGAGGAACTAATACACATGCTGGGACTAAGTAAAGCAATGCTGGTTGTGCTGCCTGAAATGTCGCTTTCACTACTACTACATTTTTGTAAGTACGCAGTTATTAGGAAAGCGCTGCTAATCAAATAAAATATACGTAATATAGTATTAGTAAAGCAGCGGTAAAATACGCCGGAATTTTGTTTTTTGTAAGGGGTTCTTATTCGAAAACTTAAAATAAGAACCAAAGTTAACAAAAAAAACAAAATTATAAAGGAAAAAAATATAGACATGTTTACAAATTTGGCAGTTGCAAAAATAATTTCCTTTTATGAACTTGAAATATAGTTTAATCCTGAGCAGATGTTTGACCATATCAATTCATGGGTAAGTAGAACAACTTGAAAATCTAACTGTACCTTGGAAAAGTGCATCATGCCCATTGTAATCATCAAACCAAAGCAGTACGCTACTGTAGTTATGAGGAAGTAGTGACGTGGCTTCTCGTAACTACCTCCCGAACCAATATAGTGATCAAATCGCCGAAGTAAAGCAATAAATATTCCTGGTATTACAATATCGCCCAAACCTATAAGGAGTGAATTATTGTTATTAGGACAGAAAACTAATCTTAACCTTCGAATTTAATTTCTAAGAAAATTATTACGAGAAAAAGTGCTCACTCATCGATTTTGCTTGCATAGAGGAATTCCAAGGCAACTGGTTTCCCTTTTTGAAGGGAATTAAGATGAAAAATAAGATGCACAGTTATAAAACTGAATAAAACAAGTTGGATTAATGGTAATGAATCTCTAAACCAGAGCCTTTAATTTTGCTGAATGCTCACCAAGCATTGCATGCTTGCCAGCATTATTCAATCCATGACGATAAATATCCTGTGGAAATTGAAGTAGTAATGGAGCATCGATACCCCTAGCAACTGTGGTCATTACATCGGTGGCGAACACCCAGAAAACGTCATAAATAAAAAGTCCAGCCAACAACATTGTTCCCGCCTACAATAATTTGAATCCTACTTAAATACAAGAGATGTCATCGAACGAAAATGCACAGCTAAAAATATATGAAAGAAAGAGTCACTGCTACAAAGCCGGCTACATGAAGTATACGTGAACAATAGGAAAGCAACCTTAAAACTACATAAATGTATGCTTTCAATACCGTAAATCGAGAAAGCAACACCAAGTATGTTATTCGTTATCCAGTGTCTTCTGTAAAGATGTGATACACCCACACACAAGCAGCATAGTATGGCAACAATATCATGAGTATCCCACTCAACTTTGAGGACATATTCCTGAAACTCATGAGGAATAAGAAGCAGAGATGCAACAAGACACAGTAATTAATAAATACTTTTTGATACATGTTCTTTCCCATCTTCGTGAAACTATATGTAAGCTAATTGCTGTTCAGTTTTTAAGGCTTTTGCGAGTATAAAATCCCCACAACAGAAGTCGCTTGTTCAGAATAAAAACATGAATGCTCACAAAATCGTCATTAGCAGCTCCTTCGATGTCACCTTCTCCCATCTCTATTTTGCCTTTTTTTAATGACCAAAAATACGGATAATTCATTTTTGGCTGATGATTTCCAATGGGAAGCTCACGAAGAATATATGAGAAGACTGGTTTTAAAATTGCAGCGAGAGCCACACATCCTGAACAGTGTAAAATTTCAGGTTCAAGCACGTTTAAGCTTAAAAACATTTAAATTCAAGATCCAGAACTCAACAGTCTGAAAATCCAGTAATCGCATTTTAAACCTCTTCCTCTAAATTCAAGTAGATTTTGAAGTTTAATGTTACCTTCCCAACACAGCAATACCAGCAATAAATGCATTACATTGACTTGGTTGACGAGAGGCAAGAAATCTAATGCCTTTTGCAACAACGTCTTTGAAGAGTGTCCTTCCACAGCTATCGGGACATCCGTACCATTAGTCAGCAAAGGTACTTCAAAACGTGAAAATACTTCAAGACGTGATGCAAGTCTTGGTGGCAAATAACTCTTCACTACTGAATAGATTCTCTGTCGGCACTCAGTATCACATCTTAAAATGTCAATTAAATTTGTTTAGTTTATCTGAGAAGTAGCTGCAAGGTCCTTTCTAATTTTTACCGAAGAAGTTGAAAGTTTAGCTTCGCCACAGTTTGACCAACTTTTAGCTTCAATATTTTGATATTGCAATCTTATATGAGTATCACCATTATAAAACCGACAAAAATAAAGTAATACATATATCCGCTAAAAGCTTTCACCGTGGGTTACGCAATATCTGATTTCATGGCACTCTTAGAATTCCAGTCATCTTCTAGTTTTCTAGTAGAAATTGAATGACAATAGTAAGCCTACATATATTCTCTTTAAATTACACGGCTTTTCCAACTACCGTTCCTTATGGATTTGATATCCTCCGTGACAAAGTGCACATACCCGAAAAAAATATAAAGTCCGAAAAGAACACATGATGCCGTTAATGGAAACTTTTTAGCTTCATTCTCTGTTATCGAAGTTTCTATTAGCCGCTTTTTACGCATATGTTTTTGCACAAAATACAAGGAACGAATGCTACCGATAACAATACAGAACAATGCCATACCATATATGGAACCATAAGCTGTTATCTGAAAATAAATTAAATGTAGTGAACAATATTTATCTAACAATACAGACGTCATCTGATGAATAACTTGTCTTCAGGCGTCACATATTACTTCACATTTCATTATATTGCTAGGTGCATTCAATTGTCTAACAAGGCATAACTTTACAATACAAAAATAAAACTCGCAAAGTTGAGTCAATCCAATCTGGTTACATCTCCTATAGTTTTTTATTCACATAACATGTAGGTACTCTTCTCAGAAATTGTTGCACATAGACAAAAGAAACAGTTAACAATCTATATACCTTGTTAATGATTCTAGACAATGGATTCTAAAGAAACTTCCTACTCCACATCAGCTATAAAATTATATTCGAAATATATCGGTTAATAAAGCACAATTAATCAATAAGGAAATGCATACTTATGAGTCCCAATTATCAAGAGATATTTCAATTTACCCTTTCTTACGACAGCTAAAGTAACTTACTTTGGTCATGAAGTAATTTCAATTGAAAGATTTAGCTTCTAACCTGTTCTTTCGCTGTGAAAGTGATGGTAGCATTGGCAACACTGGAAATTATGCTGTCATCAGATGGCAATGTCGCTTCCGTCATCCTGCACCTTCCCAACTGAAAAGTACATCATCGGTAACACAGTAACCTAATGAACAGATCACCTCTGATGGGATTCGAATAAGCTCGCCACAAGGTCCTACCTTATAGGACAGCAACCTTAGATGACCTTGAGAAAACTGAGAACATTCAATAATATGGGAATTTTTCGCGTGTAGTCCACTTTTTCCTACAAACTTTAGATAATTCAAAACATTGCGATGGAATGCAGGCCAGAGGTGAATTACTAACCACCACTGACTTCGAACATTCCAGCGCAGAGATGAATAAATCACTAATTAATTCGCTAATCAATAACTGTTATTCTTTTTGCAATCTCATAAAACTGAAAAATAGAAGGCGGACAATCCAAGTACCAATTAAACAAAATTCTGTCTCAAGATCGGCCATGTTATAAGTTACATCTACAATTCATTCACCTGTATTTCAAAAAAAAAAAATAGTAACGCCCATCACAAATAAGTAAAAGATGATATGAGGCGGGCAATTTTCCTGGATTCAGTTCCAGAATCGTTAGTTCCTTCAGTTTAACACCATATTTATAAGAGACCTTACTGGAAAACGTGTCAGAAATAATCTAAGCTAAGCTATTCAATTCCCACTTAGAAACATCATATCATAAAAAATACTGCTAACAGCTTTCCTATTCCGTCTGCTGAAAATTTTCGAAATGTTCATTACGTAAGTCGTTCTTCCTTAAATTTAAACAAATGGTCCAGACCAATCAGAAATCGAACCGCGCAAGAAGCTTAGCTCAGTGTTTCTAACAAAAAATCTGATTCAGAAATGAGACACAAATGAAAATTGCGGTTAAAATATCGGTTCCAATGTTAGTTTTTGTTCAGCACATCGTTACTCCGTTTCTGTTCATATTTCAAAATCCAAATCTATAGCATTGCATAACGTAGTATTTCGCACAGGCCATCAGTCTGACACAAACATTACAGGAAAGTGTATCCAGAACGGTAAGGAACTGTCAGTGTCGCTGAACTTTAATGTGCTTAGCAGTACCCTACGAACAATGGTTCATTTACTGTTAGTGCCCAACATAAGTTTATTTTTGCGTAATTTGAGGAGGATGTAAGCTTACTTCGATCTGTATCTGCTTTGACATACTGCTTTAACCTGCTGTTAGCACTAGTAAACAAACGCACGGATCGACGGCTACTTTTACCTTTGGTCGTTAAGTCCCACTTCTCATCCTCAATCTCACCATTAGCATCTTTCAACCAACTTCTGACTCTCATTTCCTTTTCGACAAATCCTTCAACTTAGTGTACCTGAGGAAACAGTACTGCAGGGTGATATCCAAAAAACTTAGAGAAAAAAAACTTGAGTCGTTGAAATAAGCTACCATAGCGCAACCACGTACATATACAACACAAGAATATGTCTGTAACATAGCCACATAATCCTTGACACGCAGAAGTGACAAAAGTTTCTTACAAGGAACTTTTCTTCTTTAGGCATTTGTTTCATGAAAGTTTACGGTCAATAGGTATTCCATGAAATTTGCAAGGTAATAACACGGAATCAAGCAAAAAACAATGGAAGTCGAGCAGCGCAATGCTTTGTCATTTGCTGAAAAAAAAAGTGCCGACTGTTGAACATTCTTTGACAGTTATGATTGGAACGTGTAGGTCAACGATTTCTGAAGATATCGCTGATGATAGGATTTTTTTCCAAACGTAAAATTCCATATTTTCCACCTTTGACCTAACAAACATTAGAATGCAAATTTATTTCATTCAAGTTCCATCGAGATCAAAATTAGAAGGACACATCAAACGAAAAACAAAAAAAAGCTCGCAAATTTCGGCTATGAACAATCACCTCCGAAACACGCATCGCTAACGATGCACACGTACGCCGCAATGTCATGTCATTAGAAAGGCAGCTCGCCAAATTTTCATAGTGTCTCCGTAAAATACGGGACATGCAATCGGCTAGCCAATGAAATTGTGTTTAATCAGAGAAAATTGAAGAGATGGGTGGAGCGAAATGATTGGTTGGTTAAGTGGCGTTTAGTATTAAGCGGTAAGGGGACGTTACTGTACAAAGTGGTTGGGATGCTGGCGGCGGTGTGTGTGTGTGTGTTTGGGTACGTGCGTGTATGTACGTGCGTGTCAGTCTGAAAAAATCGTTATGTAGAACTTTTCTTCGATTTTTTTCAGACTTTTTCTGAATTTGCTTGAGATATTTCTATACTTCACAGATGCGATTAGAAGGTATTGTTTGTTGCTTATGACGCTTTTGCATTCGATGTGGATATGGGGAAGAGAGAGGTTTAATGAATATCTTTTTTTTTAGGGTATCTATCGTTTCATTTTCTCCTGACCTCGTTCTTTCAAATAAGGAACAAATCGTTGTACATTTATTTACCTGTATGGCTAGTAATTATACAATAAGCCTCGTTATCCTCACCACTATTCTTTTTACTTTCGGTATGTTCTTCATATATTTCTATTTATAACTTGTTTTCGTGTTTGCATTATTAGAATGATTGAATGTAAAGATGTTTTTATCACAATAATAGATGAAGCGACAGTATTTCGACCTCTTGGTCGAATATCACCACTACCGATCATTGATATTCTGTGCAGTGTATTTCTCACAGCTGCATTACCAAATGCTAATATTCTTATTCAGTTGTTTACATTAATCTACTGATTAAACCTTGGTATTCCTATTGCTCTGGATATGTTTCTTCATGATATACTGTTTAGCTATGTGGGCATTCACTACGCACTAAAAAAAGGAAAGCTAAAACCTTGAAAAGTCGATGAGGTTAAAAATTCGCATGCTTGATTTTTTTCAGCCTTTTTTCCGTTCACAAAGGTGAAAGCCGAAATTGACTCAAGTGGTGAAGAAACAGTGAAGGAAAATATTGGAAAAATTAAGACGAGTTCGAAAACAGATGATGAAATTATTCAGAGGTTAGGTTGTATCTTATGTTTCTAATTCTTCTGATGCATGCATAGGCTATATACATTCTCGACGTGTCTTTAGTTCTCGATTTGTATAGTAGAAAGAAAAACAATTCGGTTTCAGGGAGGAAGAAGCAATTAAATTGGACGGGCTCTCTGTTGCCGAAATGAAAGAATTGAGAACTCGAGCTGAGAAACACAGCTTTCAGGCTGAAGTAAATCGTATGATGAAACTGATTATTAATTCTTTGTATAAGTAAGTCCAAATTTATGCTTTATTTTTTACAGCTGTTGTAAGTTTAGATCATAACTTGTGATATGGGATGCTTTGGTTAGGCTGGTGAGCTAAACATGCACCTTAACGATTTATATGACACGCTTTACTTGTCATTTGCAGTGTCGTTTGCTTAGCATTTATATTTATTTTTAGAAATAAGGAGATCTTTCTTCGTGAGTTGATATCAAACGCTTCGGACGCACTGGACAAAATTCGATTGTTATCGTTAACAGATCCGTCGGTTCTTCGGACTACGGATGAACTTTCAGTTCGAATTAAGGCATGGCTTTTCATTTTAACTGTTTTATAAATTGGACATTTGAAAAAATTTTAATAACATTCGATTTCTCTCCGTTGAATTTTAGGCAGATCCAGAAAATCACATGTTACATGTGACGGATACTGGCATTGGAATGACAAAAACAGATTTGATCAATAATTTGGGTACGATTGCGCGATCAGGAACAGCAGAGTTTCTGTCGAAACTGCTGGATTCTTCCACATCATTGGAACAACAACAAGACATGATCGGACAGTTTGGTGTCGGTTTTTATTCTTCTTATCTTGTTGCAGATCGTGTTGTCGTAACTTCGAAACACAATGATGACGATCAGTATATTTGGGAATCTGACAGTTCTTCGTAAGTTTTCATGTAAATTGCGTCTTTTACTGGATTTTGAATAACTTTGCTTGCTAGACATGACCATTTTTGTTACAGTTATTTATGAATTTTTTTAATGAATGAAATTGAACTTTATTTAATTCCCTCAATTTGCAGGTTCACAGTTGCAAAGGATCCTCGGGGTGCAACTCTTAAGCGTGGCACTCAAGTTACATTGCATTTGAAGGAAGAAGCATATAACTTCTTAGAATCCGATACACTGAAGAACTTAGTGGAAAAGTACAGTCAGTTCATCAATTTTAACATCTACATGTGGCAGTCGAAGGTGATTTATCTTAGTTTTATCTTTCTTCTCATTCAGAAAGTTTGTTGTACACTGTGTTAGCTTTTTCAGACGGAAACAGTTGAAGAACCTTTTGAAGAAGAAACAGAAAAAGTAACTGATGAGAGGACTGAAGATGCTGATGGTAAAGTTGAAGAGGACAGAATGGAAGCGAAAACCAAGAAAGTTGAAAAGACAACATGGGATTGGGAAAAAATCAACAATGTTAAGCCAATATGGATGCGAAAGAACGATGAAGTTGAAGTGGAGGAATACAACGAATTTTACAAGAGCATCACTAAGGTTCATGAAAGAGGCTCTGCAACTTTTTTCTTGCTAAAACTTCATGATACCGTTTCTGTTTATAGTACTTTGCTTTTCGAATAATAAAGTTCTTTTTTCAGAATTTTAACGCCTACAAAATTTTTTTGAATAACTTGGCTGTAATTTGATTTCTTTTAGTGTGACCACTCGTGTTCTCCCACCCACCATCTTTTCTTTCCAAAGATTTCTGCCAGTATCTCTAGCCTTTACTATTTCAGGATCACGAAAATCCTCTTGCGTATGTGCATTTTACAGCTGAGGGAGAGGTCACTTTCAAATCTATCCTCTACATTCCTCGACATAGTCCATTCGATATGTTTCAGAATTATGGAAAGGTATCATTTTTTTTTGTTTTCAGTAGATTTCAGTGGTTTATACAAATCGTTTAGGTGAATCTTGGATCATTGATTTTGAAATCCTATCTTCAGCGTTGTTTTGCTTGGCTTTACTACCGTAAAAGAATGCATTTCATTGATCTTCAGGGTACGGACAATATCAAACTATATGTGCGTCGTGTTTTTATCACCGATGATTTTCATGATATCATGCCGAAATATTTATCTTTCATCCGTGGCATAGTAGATTCGGATGACTTGCCACTGAACGTTTCCCGCGAAACACTTCAACAGCATAAACTTTTGAAGGTATTTCTGCTTGAAATAATATATAAACATGAAGCAATCCATTACGTGGACACAGAAGGAAAATAACATATTGTCGTCGATTTTTTTGTATCCTTGCATTCATTACTTGTTACGATTTATAAAGATAGTTTTATTTTAGGTTATTAAGAAGAAGCTTGTCAGGAAAGTATTGGATATGTTCAAGAAGATGGAACCTGGTGATTTTGAAGATTTTTGGAAAGAATACAGTACAAATATCAAACTAGGTATCATGGAAGATCCCACAAACAGAACACGTCTTGCAAAGCTTCTGCGTTTCTACTCTTCCAATAGAAAAGTAATGTCTCCTGATGTCTCAATACGATATCTCCATCCCTCCTAAATCAGAAGTCCAATTTCGCGAAAAAAAGCTCTATTTTTTGTTTTGTGAGTATACAACGTTTTCATTGTTGCAGGACAAGATGACTTCACTTGCTGAATACGTAAGCCGGATGAAAGATAAACAAGAAATGATCTTTTATGTTGCTGGAAATTCACGGGAAGAGGTTACTGTTGTAAATATTCTTTTTGTAAAAAATCGTCACTTTTTCGAAAGAAGAGGCATTGAAAGAAAACAAAAAAGCAGCAGGTTGTCCCTGAAAATTTTCTGAAGCCAGTTGTGTGAGATTTAAAATTTATTTTTTACAGGTGGAATCTCTACCGTTTGTTGAGCGTTTGCTCAAGAAAGGATATGAGGTGTTGTATTTGGTGGAAGCTGTTGACGAATATGCCATCCAATCGATGCCAGAGTTTGATGGGAAGAAATTCCAGAATGCTGCCAAAGAAGGGCTGAAAATTGATGACAGTGAAAAAAGTAAAGAAATGCAGGAACAGCTGGAAAAGGAATTTGAACCACTGACGAATTGGCTAAAAAATATGGCTCTGAAGGCAAGTTTTTATTTATACCGATTTCGCCTTGTTCGAATGATGGCTAGCTGGAGCAGTCAGTTAAGAGAAAAATGTTCAGTGCGCTGGATTAACACTGCAGACTGGGTCGCAACACCTTTGCCGTGATTCGTCAAATAGTAGCTAATCTTTACGCCAACGAGTGAAGTTACGATTCATATCAAATTCAAGGCTTTTTGTTTTTATTTTGATCCTGTCTCAGTAGTTTTGCGGCCTTGTCTCTTGTAATTTAAATGTACTGTTCCTCCGGTTTGTGCTTGCATCTTTTTTTTCTGGATTTAAATGTGTTAATTATTCTATGTTCTTAGGATAAAATTGAGAAGGCACTTGTTTCGCAACGTTTGGTCCAATCACCGTGTGCACTAGTTGCATCTTCATATGGTTGGTCAGGCAACATGGAGCGGATCATGAAATCTCAAGCGCATGCAAAATCCTATGACCCAACTCAGGTTTGTTATGAATCACCGATTTTCCTAGACAAACTAATAAGATTGCTTCTACAAGGTTTTCATCGATTTTTTTGAAGGAGTTCTACGCAAATCAGAAGAAAACATTCGAAATTAACCCACGTCATCCTGTTATCAAGGAATTACTGCGTCGTGTACAATCTGGGAAAAGTGATGAGAAAGCTACTGATACAGCTATGCTGCTGTTTGAAACGGCTACATTACGGTCTGGTTTCACTCTAAGTGATCAGGTTGGATTTGCTGAACGAGTTGAGCAGGTACGTCCACCGAAGTCCTCAAAAATATATCAATTAGTGGGTCATTCTATTGCTGTGGGTACGTCTTACTAAAATTTATCTGCATGTTTTCAGATTCTCCGCCGAACGATAGACGTGTCACTGGATGAACCAGTGGAAGAAGAACCTGAATTTGAGGAAGAGGATAAAAACAAGGTATCTGCCGAGGAAAACGATGAAACAAAAGATGAGTTGGAGCATTCAGAGCTCTGAACTTTGTTTTCTTATTATTTTATGTGCAAAGCTGTTAATTATGGGTGAAGCGGAACTTGTTAACTGTAAATAACCAGCACAACTAAAATTGTTGTTTTTCATAGAAATTTTTTCCAAACTTCAAGTGGCTTAAAATTTATAGTGTACTATTATATGCCATTTCGGCAATTACTTCTATAAATTTTTGGGAATTTCTATCTTATTTATTCGAAATGTTGTGTTTGGTAATTGTTTCCATTTTTTAAATGTTTGTTTTCGATTAGTTTTATCTTTAAATGATCTATTACGGATAAGGACACTTAATTTTGAGAATAAACTTAGTTGAGGTCACACTACTATCACCATTTAAGTTATCATTATTGCTGCTAGTGGCTCCTGTCAGCGTTCAGAGCGTTGCATCATTACTGTTGCTGCTGTTTGGTGATCTAGCAAGTGTAATTTATTGTTGTCTTCCCTTATATTTGTTTTTTGAAATGTTGGTCCTCCTTGTTTTTTTTTTTTTTTTGAAAATAATAAGTCTTATCAAGTTCATCCCAAATATATTCAATACAATGAAAATGTTTACTAGTGCCACTATATGTCTGGTTGATAGATGCGATACTATAAGTGGGCAATCGTGGTTTTTGAGGATGTAGCATAAGAGACAGTAAACTGGAAGGTGTGATACAGTTCTGCTTCAGCAATTGCTAGAAGATTGTCGAAGTACAGTCAAGTTGTTCATGAAGAACAATACCGCTTTCATGGATACAAATGATTCATGCATTGATATCAGTTCTTATCTGATTAAATTTTGCTTGATTGGTGGAGAATGCTAGAAATCACTAACTCATTTCGTGACATGGACTTTGAATTGGTTATTTCGAATGGAAAAAGCAGCGGAAGGAAACAAATAGAGGATTTTTAGTGATTCCTGCACTTATTTTTTTTTTTTTGACAGTTTTCAATTTGGAACTTGGATGCTGTGTAGTGATGCTGATATCTATTATGCATGACTCTATGAATTAGCGAAAGGAATGCCACTACTAGGCAATGCGGATGAGGTCATCTTACGGTAGAAGGAGCAGCAGGACCTGAAACTAGAGCTGCAGGTTTCAGATAAAAGAGTGAGCAAGGGTCTCCAAATGGATGCGTGAAATATAAACACCGTCAATTAAACTTAACAGTGTTAGCGGGATTCTTTAAAGCTGGCAAATACGGAGTGAAGTGCGAGACCAAAATAAATGTAATTTTGTTCCAAAATCATTAATAAATGAAATCTGCCACATGGGGAGTAGTCTTATGCCAAGAAATTTCGGAAACCTCATGTTCTTTCCACTTGTTGCTTATTTCATGTGAAAGAATTTCAAATGGTTCATTCTTTTGCAATGATTATATGAGCAATAACAATAGACGATCGGGTAGTCCGGACTGACATCAAGTCTTGAAAGCACCTGTGGCAAAGAAACTTTCAATTATGATTTGAGTTTTAAATTTTATTTATATAAATTCACCCAACTCTGAATTTTCATATACTTCATCTCTGAGATTTATAATGGTCTATTACAACGTTGGTAGTTGTAGATTTCAAGTGACAGCAAGTTCCAAATTGAAAACTTAAATGAGCGCCAGAATAGTTGGATGCAGGTTGTTTTTTGTTCTATGTTTGCTCAAAATCACTACAATTTTGAATTTTCATACTTAAAAACCTGTATGAATAGGAAATGATGTTTGCTGATAGGTAAAAAATCTTCGGTTAAATAGTAAATATATAATTTCCGATTAAATAGTAAATAACTTTTTTTTGTTGGATAATGTAAGGTTATTTCGTTTTGTTTTTTCCCATTGATTTCGCAGCTATTTATTTTCTTCAACTGTTGACAAAGTTTTTGGTCAGAGAAATCTTCTAGCCAAATCTCGACTTGTAAAATAAAAATCCACGAAGACAAAATTTTGGATGGCAGTATTCTGAAGCAATCAACTTGAATTAGTTTTTTCCTACGATTTTTTTTGTGGTCCTTCTGAAAATTTTTTTTCATTGAATCACTTCACTCTGTGACTGAAACAAATACATGATTAGAACAAGCATGTAAATATATCTTCTATTTTCGTCCTATTTATTTTTGGATTATTTATACCATTATTGGGATACGTTAATCCATTTTATTTGTTCAGTCTGTAAGGAATTGAATGTTTCCATCGGGTAATACTTTGTGAATTTGAGTTTCCAACTGAAATGTTATTAAAGACGAAAAGTTTGTTGAATTTTAAGAGTAAAAATGTTCGAGTGTATTCATTTGTACTCTTCAAATGAGCTTTTTTGCACATTTTTTTCTGTCAGTTTGACCTCTTAGCATTTGGCATTAGTTTTACTTTTGCTAGGATTGCAGTGAATATATTCAAAGAATGCTCGGAACTGATGATCTCAATGAAGTGGATATATATCCTTTGCAAAATGACGTCAAATTTTTTAGAGAAAAGTTTTTTCTATTTCGAGGATTTCTTCTGGACATGCTTCCAAAAATTTTATGACTTCAGCCCTGAGTTTTTGATCATTGCTTTTCGTTCTTATTTTTAGGTAACGGCACTTTGAACGGTTTTGACTTCCTTGTGAGAAATATCACTTTTATTACAAATAATGTCTTTAATGTAAACTCTAAATTCGCACTTTGACATTTTAAATTCATAAAATAAGTCGAAATTTAAATATTTATTGAAGATGGAATTTTCCAATGATTTTTCGGTTATAAAGGCATATTTTGATTAAAATGACAATGAAGTGGAATGAATGTATTGGCTCAGTTAGCAAAATGCATTAAGCATTTGTTTAAAAACATTTATTTCTATTTTGCTTTGAATGGAATGTCATTTCTTTATTCAAACTATTATTTCTGCCTTTTAATTATTCATTGCTGATAAAATACTTTTAATGCTTATATTTTCTATATCTTTGCTTTGTTCTCAAATAGGATAATTCGCTTCAAATTATTCAATTATGAAGGAATACGAATATATTAGGATTTACTCAGCTTATGTGAGCCAAGTTATGCTTATCAATCTTGCATAAGTTGAATAAAATTTTTAAACCACTAACCGCTAAAAAACATTTAAAGCAAACAATCTTAAAGATACACAAGATATTCATTATTGTGGAATTCTGGCAATGATTCATCATTAAATGATTGAAAATTTGAATCGTCATTTGAGATTAGCATTAAAATGTTTGATCGTTCATTGCTCATCCATCTTTCATGCATATCATATCTCAGTCTTTTTAGCAACCAACCATCATGCATTCTGTTTCATCCACCGATTAGATTCATTTGGATAAACCAATATTTATGTGTCTCCTCAACTGTTTAAAATTTAAATTATATGTTGGTATCCCCATATGGACTTACCGCATCACAATGAAAGATGGGTTATCTAAAATGATTATAAACTCTTGAAGTTTGAAGTTTTCAAACATCCAGGAATGCACCACAAAGAAATTTGTTAAAATAAATAAGCATTATTTCTTCATGCGCTCTTTGACAATGCAAGTATAAATTTAAAAGAGATATAGCGGTAACTTGCCAATTACTTTTCAAAAATTTCCTTTCCATTCCCTTCTGTAAGAATTTATGCTTTATACAAACCAGGGAAACCAATTAGCAGATCTTTCTTTTCTTTCTCCTTCCCTGTTTTTATTCAGATCATCTGTCTGTCTGCTGAATTTCACGGTTTTTTAAATTACACTTTGTGAGATAACAGCTGTTATTATTTTGGACAAACGCTCACACAAAAGCTTTGAGTGTTTCAAATTTTTTATTCAAAAATGTTATGCTCTTTTTTACATCTTTTTTTACATGTTTTTCGTTCTTCATCTTCCTCTTCCACTCGTTTCCATCAGATGACTCTATTATCTATGTTCCGGATGTTCCGGAACTGCAGTAAATTCGAATATGCCTAATTTCAATCAATTTGTGAGTGCAAAAGGTCTGTTGTAGTAATTATTATTGCTATTACATTCAAAAAGAGCACGTCTTGTTATTATACCTCTTATTGCCACTGGAATTTGCAAAGGGCATTTCGGCGTCTTTTTTCTTGTCATAGTCGTATTTCAAATTCTGTATCGAATTAACATAAGATTTCGTAGTACGAATGAAGAAATCCACACAGCAGAGATGTTCAACAATGAAGGTTCTTGAAATTTTTTCATAGGAAGATGAATCAGTTAAAACTTTCCATTTAGAGATTTGATGGATCCAATCTAATTAAATCCTTCAAATATTCTGTTTTTACGACTGCATGGAGAAACTCCACCAAATCAAGAACTTTATTGAGAGTTCAAAGTTTGTCTCAATCGTTAACGTTTAGTTGGTCGCTTGTGATTATTCTCTCTTCACTGTCGCAACATCCAGTTTCCTTTTGCAAATTCCTAAAAATCTGTACATTCATCGCTTGAGAAGACGTAGCCAATTTCCCATTACTGCTTTCTTTTCCGTCTCTTCCTCTTCGAATAGTTTTTTTCATCCCGCTGTTCGTCCACGCAAAAACAAAACGAGACTGAGCACTGCACTCATAATCTGTTTTATTTACAAACACCGCCATCTCTACTACCATCATCCCCTCCTATTTGCAGGAAGTATTTCGCTTAAAAATGTGAGTGCTCAAAAACAATGCAATTTACGTTTCACAAATGTAGATATCATACATGAAAAACATATTTCACATAAGATGCTAATTACATAGATGACAACCGGGCAGAAGATAGCAGGGAAGCTTAGTTCTGAATCTTTGGAGATGAAACTTTGATATAAGCGTACCTCTCATGCAGACTGAAAACTATTTTTAATGCTGAAACCCAACGTTGGCAATTATTCTGTACTTGGAATCTGAAACTTTTGTAGATGAGTGAACTTCTCGCCTTTTTTAAGAGATGCTAAATCGCCAATATTGCTTCTCAGCGAGGTCCAGGAAAAATGAGATCAAAATACAGTTTTATTAAGGCCATCACTAGTTTGGAAGAATGAATAATGGGTTACTGCAAAACATCCTCCAGCATTCCAAATTCGAAATCCCATAACTTCCATTTCATGAAGGAAGGGATGAAGGAGGGACTGGATAAGGAACGAGGTAGAGTAGGGCTGGAAAATGACAATTAACTTATGTTACCGGTGTAAAAACAGCAGTGAAGATGTGTACAAGATCGTTGTACGTTTCAATTGTTTAGTAGGTTGGATGCAAATGTATGTACACTGTCTGCTGCATATGCATGCATATGTGTGCATGTGTGTTGTTTTGCGTTCACTCTCTTGATGAACTTCCTCTGCTTTCATTGTGTACATTGAGTGATGAAGGAATGTAGCAATGCAAAAAGCACGATGAAGACACGCAATGTATCCTGCACGAGCCCTCCATCGACCTGTAAAGCAACGTAATATAAAGTTCCACCCCATACTGTGCCTATCACAAACAGCAACATCCATGTATCGCTCGTTATATGTATGCAGGCGGAGCTTATCTCTATCCGTCTGTTTCCTTGTGTCTGTCCATTTTTTGTTGTGTTGGCTGTTCGCCAACACCAGTCACGTGCAGATGGCATGCGAGGCAAGTAGATGATGTGGATAGAGCAGGCGGAGAGCCAAGGAACTGGGGCTTATTGCTTAGACGCCTCCGCACAGACACATCCAGAGGGACAGACAGACAGGCGGTCGGGGAGACAGACATTGAGTACGTCTGTGAGCGTTATATATGCGTTTTAGGACGGGTATCAATCAGTCCGGTGGTTTTGTGCAGGTCTGAATTGGATGCGCTGGAGTGCAATGCATCATCCACCTTCTACGATCAGTAACTCTTCCTCTTCCTCGTCGTGCGGTTGCCCATTGACCCCGTCGGCGATCATCCGACACCCGCTCCTTGCCATCATTGTCTCCTATCGTTATCTGTTATTAATTAAGAGAAGTGACACCATCGATTGTCCCTTCCCCGGAAACATAAACATGTAATGCTCAGTCTAATATCGCAATCATGATCACGGTAATCGGGATATCACCTTCTATACTGTCATATTTTAATACTTATCCCCTAACATTTGATCAGTTTCATGGGTTACATGAACGAGCTACTTCACGGTGGAAATGAGATCTGTTACCGTCTGTCCGATATCAGGACCCACTTTCCGAACAATCTTATCTCTCCTCACCTTTTTGTTACCTTTCCCTATCCTTCAACTGAGATATCCACAAATGTCTGCAGTCATCTTGCAACAATGTTATCGAGTAAATTATATTATGCAATGTACTGACCATTTGCTCATTTATGATCAAATCTCATTTGTTCATTTATTTTTTATCCATTCACTCATTTACGTTTTTTCATGGCGTATTTATCCATGCTATACTGCTGACTGCAATATTGATCCTATCTGGTAGCGATGTTTATTTTGACATTATCAGTAGCTGTGATTTTTTTATTCAGAAATTTCATTCTATTTCTTCGTCACTTTGGCGTTTGGCATATTCATCCAATATAAAAATGATTTCTTCACATATAAAAAGTAAAAAATGAAAGTGTAGGGAAACTTTGCGCATTATTTCAGTGCTTCATGCACTTGAACTTTTACATATTTTTACTTTTGTTTCTCAAATTTATTTACAAAATGAATGCATTAAGCATCGTTTTAACCGCTGCAAATCATTCATCCTCGGAGCATTGACGAGCAAGAGATTCACTTAATTCAGAAAATTATTTGATAACTTATTGCAAATCCTTCGTTAAGTTCTATGCAGATAAATTTAATTTCGGGAGAATCTTTCTTGTTCCCAGCCAGCGCAACTCAGTGTCATGGAAGCATTTCGCGAAATTATTTGAGGCGACGCCGAAGCCGAATACCAATTTCGAAGCGGTGACGTCAGCTTGTTCTGTCTCTCTCCTCCCAATTCCCCGTTCCCCTTCCAAACATGATGTGTAACAGGATGAATTCACTAGGATCTACGTCTCTTTAAGTTGCCTCCTCTTGACACTATTGCTATATTAGATGCCAAGTGATCTCCATTATTCTCCAATTTGTAATCTTCCCACTATTTGTCATCAGTTTATGACAATGTGAAACTTCAATGCGTATCTCGCACATATTTTTATTTCCAGTTATTTTTTTATAATTACGATCCGTGGCTCTCTGAATAATCTTTATAATATAAAAGATTTGCACATAATTCAGTTGGGAAATATGAAATTTTATTTTGCCACGAAGTTTTAATTTAAATTAGCTTTGAACAGTCTCATCACTTTCTCTCTCTCTCTCTCTCTCTATATATATATATATATATATATATATGAGAGAGAGAGAGAGATAGATCCTAGCCCTGAGATGAGGTATTGCTTCTTCATATTGTACAAGTAAGAAATTTTGTTCCTGCGGCGGGTTTTTTTGTGTTATTGAATGGACTGTGAAATTTATGAAGATTTGGAAATCCTTACAATGATTGTTTGCAATGGACAGAAACTTTTTTGTCGTTCGGCGAATCATTTTAATTTTGCCAACTAATTGGTTTTGCATGTGAGTTGCAGGATTTTAATGAGTCCATTGTGCGCTTACAAGTTCCGAGATTTGTGGATAATATTTTATGTTGCATACGAAACAATATATATATTTCATTTCATTCATACTTATGCTGAAGCATAGAAAATATATATCTGACTAGACTTTCATGATATACCTTTTGTTTAGTGCTCATAAAAATTAACTTTGATTTATTTTCACTAATATTTTAACTTTTTCTCCTGAAATCCTTTCATAGTACGCTTTTGCTTGCCTTTTTCTTCGCAAAATCTGTGAGAGATATTTTACTGCACAAATTGAGGTGAGTCATGCCCTGTTGGTTGGTTCTGAAAACCTTCCCTGCAATGATTCATCAAAATGATCGCTAAATCGTTGGTTGATATTCCTTGCTGATTGAGCGGTATTATTCTTGCTGACCCCTCTTAGCTTTACTGGATATCGAGCCATCATTGTTCAACGAGATGAACAATGTATTATTGTTGACCCACACTGATATGGGGACATTAAACATTCATCGCTCCTTTTGCAACTAGCTTATTTACTTTCAATAATTGCTGAATTGAAAAATAAGTTTTGAAAAATGTCAAACATATTTCCTTTCATGAAAATTAGTTTTAGATTTGTATGGAGTAAATGATGTAAAAGACGAGAAGGGTTTCGTCTTGGGTTGGACACTAGATGCAGCAGAGACTTACATAATCTCCAGTTACTACTTTAAAATGTTTTTTTTTCAAATGTTTTTCTAATTGAAATCCTCACTACAAAAAAGCGGTGTGTTAATTGTTAGAGAACGGGCAAAAAATATTCCTCCAAATATTTAATAAATACGCCAGGAAGATCAAAAAATACATTTATTCTGTGAAAGTAGTACAAAATACGATTGTTATCAGCCATATACTGCATGTTAACTGTTGTTAACTTCGTTGCTTCATTCATGTGCCAACACATTTTACCATTTAGTGGGAATGAAATTTTGTTCCTTACTTCACGTGCTTTAACATGCTTACACATCCATTTTTCATAAGCTCTTTATCCCCTTTCATTTTCTGGTGCTGTAATTGCAGAAAGGTTTGGTAACAAATAGGAAATGTTTGGTGAGTTTCGGTCCTACAATTTAATCTCGCTTTTTGGAAGAGAGAGTTGAACTTGAAAATGATAAAAAATACATTGAAAGAATGAGATTCTTATTGACGGAAGCGGCAAGATTCATTTGATTGTGCGTTTTCTTATTGAGACTAATGAGCTTTTGTTTGAGAATTATAGGTTTCAATTTTTTTTTACTAAAATAATTTCATGTTTTAGTTACATGCTTGCAAAGCTCTAGTTCGTTTTTGAGTCAGTCGTGGAGGTATGAATAATTGGTTGGACATTGTTACTGTGAATTTTAGAAGAAAAATACTTTTAAAATTCGTCATAAGTGTTGTTTGATTCGTTACTTTCGGAAAATTTAGCATTGTGAATGGAATAAGGGAAGGATCTGTTTTAGCAGTTCTTAGTAAAACTTCAAAAATTGCTTGTTTGGACATAGTAGCTCAGGACGCTTTTGTTTTCTTTTCCATCTTTGACCCTATTGTGATTGTTTTCCTTTTTTTCTTTGCCATCTTTGACCCTATTGTGATTGTCTCTATCTCTCACTGTCTCTTGAAATCTGATTTGTAAATCGTCTACAGCATAGAAGGGAGTCAAAAAATGAAAAGCGGAATAGTTGTTGTGAAAGGAGTAGCATCTCTCTAAATTGATAAGGGCCCCTACGAATTCATGATTCATATCTCTGGTTGAAATTCTGGTAGTATCCATTTTTTTTTTTTGTTTCAGAGCTTAGATAAGATGGAATTGATTGTTTGGAAGAAAAGTCGATCTTATAGATCGTTATTGATGTGAGAATAAACCTAGCGATGTTGAAAAGCGTCTTCCCAATAAGGTCAAAAAAACGGCCACTTGAACATATTGGTTGTGATGGTAACAATTTTCTGAAGAAAACAAATGGAGAAGATGAAGTGATCAATCAATTTTGGTTAGTAAATTGTTTTTAAAAGAATTAATTTTGTATATGCAAGGAATCTAATTCAAACAAGCTTAAGCTTAAATTGAGGGGTGCCTCTTTGACCATATTGTGACTATCTGTATTTTTCACCATCTCTTGGAATCCTATTGGAAGATGTCATGAAAGCACATCAGTATAACAATTGTATTATCTAAGATTAGGACATGAAATATGCCAATACTTTCAAGCAGGTTTTGGAGAAGTTGTTTCCTCACGCGAAATACGTCGAATTGGATGATCAGCCCTATTTTAGTTATACATTTTGAGGTGAAAATAATAAAGTACCGAAAATCATGCTACTGATTATAGTTTTTGTCATGACAAGAAGCTTGGCAAAGAATCATTACGATTGGTTATTTTGGCTGAAAGTGAACGACGACTGTTATTCGATAGTGAAACTGTTTTACCAGTAAATACGCCTGACATCCCAGCTAAAACACCGCTTTCAAATTGTGGTCGGTTTCGGGTAAATTATGGATTTCTTTCAGAAGAAATATGTATTCATACGAGCTTAAAATATAACCACCATGCACCAGCTTTTTCAGTGTATGTCGGTACCGTTATCAGAATTTATTTAAGAAAAGTTTTAATAGAAAACTTGCGCAAGAGGATGATGTTTCCGAAATAATTTTCAGTTTCTAAGGCATCGTCCAGATGTTTCCTGCATTGGACAAATGATATTTGGTTCGCTGTCCACAACAAAAAATGAATCCTTTAAAATACATTCTTTAAGGTATCTTTTCATGTTTTCTAGTTATCATAACATCTCCTTAGCTTACTGCAAGTGACTGTTGCACTGGACATATTACCGGTCTTGTCAACAACTGATGAACTTCGACGTGACCAACTGTTGAAATGATGCTCGTACTTGGTAAACATATTTATGTTGAAACGAGAAATAAATATGTCACTAGGGACAGCCGTAGTGGTCTAGGTAGGATGTTGCAAAAAATTATTTTCGAGTTTTCAATTGTGAACAAGTATATATATATATTTCGCGGTATTTCCAGTATTGCTACCGATTCATTTTGCAAGCGATTGTTTAAGGTAAAATAGAAAGGTATAAATCAGTTTAAATTCTTCTTAATTCCTTTTTGGAAAATAGTGAGGGGCAGTTTGATATTGATTTCTCATTGCACACCAGATTTCCATCCCATCTGAATCTCTAGTTTCATATTTGGTAGGTTGCGAAAACGAAGTAAAATTTTTTTAGAACTTTTTTTTCAGTGATAGTAAACAAGTTATGGTAAGTCGCGTTATTTCGGTCCCAAAAATAACAAGACCATCAAACAGGTATCATTTTTTTCCAATAACGTAAATGTTCTTGTTTACACGTTTGTAGTTTACTTTTCAAATTGCTTTTATTTTTTCAATTTTAAAGTTGAGCGGATGGGTAATTTGCTTTTTTTATGTAAACTTCTGTCGAACATATTAGTTTCCATGATATTCACTGGTTAAATATTTATCTGGAATAATTCAGCGATATCAAACTACCCGTGAGTAGTGCTAGTAGTGCTGATTCGGAAAGTCCATATTCAACAGTTTGCTCATTGGAGGGATTGCGCAGACGAGCACATTACTGCTCGCAGTCGACTGATCCTCCCGAAGGTTTTATTCAGCAGTATTCATGAATATTCCTTAATTCAAATACAGAGAAAATACTGTTGCATTACTCTTACTGTTTTGTTTACGGCTGAGTTACATAAAAAGTTGTGGATATACAAATGAGCAAGTTCTCAAATACATACACAAAGACAGTTGATATTTTGATTGTCGGTTGGATTACCTGAGGTCGTATGGTTCTGTCGTTGACATGTTGAACTTTTAGAATTATCTGCGTTCGTGTGACATAAGTTAGTCTGCAATCGTTAAACACGTTCGGTAATTAATCGCAATGGTCATTTACTCTGATTATTCTGAGAAAATTTATATTTAATAGTTAATTTTATATTTAATAGTTAATTCACTGGAAGATGCATGTGAAATTTCTTCTAGAACTGCAATAAGATTGAATTAATTGCAGGTTTCACCCGAGTACGAAATGCTTCCTTTCAGTTGGATACCGAAGAAGGAAATATGAAATCTTACCGAGCTTTTTCACCTAATCGCTTTTCCCGATATCGTCGTATGCAGCTTGCACAACGTGGCAATTTATGTGATGAAAGTAAAATATTTGCATTTTTTGAAGCCTCATCAGTGACGGATTTGACGTCGAATGATGTTTATAGGATCTAGAAAGTGGAAGACCAACTGAGAACATTCTGATTGGTGGAATAACAATCATTCCAAAAGTAACACAAACTGGCCAAAGCACAAACTGATATTTGAATATTTTCATGCCTTTGTTCATAATTCTTTTATCTTTTTGCCTTAACAGGACTGAGGTAGGGAATCCAGCGTATCTGAAGAGGAAGCTTCGTAATTTTGACTATGGGTAGAAAAAACTTTAAATAAATAATAAGTAGTAATGTCTTAGTTTTCTTGAACTTATAATAAATCAGCAGCTTAAACTAATGATTTTGATAAATTTCTTAATTTGAAACTGAGTTTGAAAAGATTTCGATTGCAGAAATGAAATGCTGCTAGTTGGGCATTCAGTATTAGTAAAAAAAAAACTCTTATAGGATAATATTCAAGATGTCCAGAATCACACTTTGGAGTATCTCATATTACTTCTAGTAACTTTAAGATAATGAGTCTCTCACTGATGATGCGCTTACTTATCTGTAATTACTCATACACTGAAGATTATCCAATTCACATAATATAAAGTATCTTTAGAAATGTTTGCGTACTTTTTAAGTCTTCATTATCGCAATTAACAGCATAAGATAATCTCTGTTTAACAGCATAAGCCCAAAGTTCATTATTGGAATCAAAAATTTGTAGTGTCGCTTTTACTGATTCATAACAAATATTTAATTTCTCAGAGTTGTCGAAAGTCACATCTACAGAGATTCTTGATGCATAGATTATGAAACAATTTATTTCGGAGATTAATGCATTTTATTGCAGTCGTATTTTTGTTTGTATGTTAGACATTATCTTATGGTATTTGACTTCTTATTTTAGATCTCAAAGCATCCTGGGTCGAGTAATTTCACATCGTAGCACTTTTTTTAATTTCTACTTAAATCTTCAGTTTCTTAATTTTCGTTAATTTCTTTTTTCTACTTTTTCTCTTTTTATTCTAACGAAAATGGAGCAGTTCCTTCACCTTTGTGATTCAAAATTTGTCTTGATGAAGAACTGCCTCGCAAATATGGAGAAAGAAGTAGCATTATATA